GGTTATATGTAACGGTATTCTGTTGAGATCTGAGGGCTCAGGCTCCGGGGCTGAGTCATCCCGTCAACATACATGTGTTAGTATATAGCCCTCTAGTTCCTCCTCCATAGCACACATCACATCCATCATCCATCCAGTCCCTCTGTATCCAGCAAATACTTGGCATAATTTCCGGATCACCAAGAGCTAATCGTTCCTAGGAAAGGGATGCAGGATCAGGTCACGTGACGGAAGGACGGAATCAGCCTCTGATGCGCCGTCTCACTCTATACTTCGTACAGTAGCTGTCGCGACAGAAAAATGTGTCAAAATGTGCCATTAGACCAAAAGGTGCGCACACACAGATTGGCCTCAGTACGGTGGTATTTTTGCCTCGACAGTAGCAGTCTTAGGCCAAGGATGTACCCCGCAGTCCGTGCCCAACCATGTCCCCAAGTTCGGAGTTGATCCTCAATTCGGCGTAGGCTTCCTCTCGTTCATCGATTTCGTTGGACAGCGTTCTTTAACTCTCCTAGCCACCAAGCCCCGATGCAAGCGAGCCCTCGAAACAAGACCCGTTGGATCATTCGGATCTCTGCCTTTGACATCATCGGCCTAGCCCCATGCTCATACGCCAATAATTGACCACTTCTTTTTATAGTAGTAGTCCTCACATTGTGCTATTAGCGTGAGTTCGCCGAACCTCGCTCGGTCTATTTGGCTCTGCTCAGCCTCGGTGCCTGTGTAGCCTTTACAATGAAGACTGAGTGTAGCCGAAGCAAGCTGACGGTGTGCCTGAACTCACTCCCGCTCGGTTTTAATATAAGACCCGACGCTGGAGAACGAGTGAGAGGTTTGTTTCTTGCTTTTCAGTCTTTGTACATCTTTCTCTGGTAAGATGGTTGCTAGTTTGCCGTTGCTGTCGCTGGTTTCAGCTTGTTTGGCTGCTTCTTTGCCGGTGGTTGACTTGGGCTATGAGCGCCACAAGGCTATTTCGTTTAATGTAAGATTGATTTCTTTTCTCTTTTTCCTTTTGATACATATCTGACTGGGATCACAGAGTTCCCACGGCCTCTATAATTTCAGCAATATCCGCTACGCCGCTCCTCCGACTGGTGACTTGAGATTTCGGGAACCTGTGCTCCCAGCGTGGAACCGAGATCAAATCCAGAATGGATCTGTTGGCAGGATCTGTCCTCAATCAATACCAATGTGGGAGACCATCGAGCAAACTTTCCTGTTAAGTTACTTGTACAACAAGACTTTCACACTCTCCACCAACATCTCGTCCTATTCGTACGAACCAGCCGCCCAAGACCCACGTACCACCGAGGACTGCCTTTTCCTCGATGTAGTCGTTCCGAAGAAGGTCTTTGATCGCACAATGAAGAGGAAAGCCTCGCATTTGGGGAAAGGCCTGGCGCCCGTAGTGGTATGGATCTATGGTGGAGGATATGTGGCGGGCGAAAAGAGTAGCTCGGATCCCACTGGGTTGATCCGGCGGAGCATGCTCTCAGGTGATGGAATCGTATATGTTGCCTTGAACTACCGGGTGAGTTGAATAATGTTTTCTCGCGGTTGCCCGAAGCTTACCTATTCTAGCTGGGCGCATTTGGCTGGCTTGGTGGTGATAATATCAAGTCTAATGGCACTGCCAATGCAGCATTACACGACCAGCGCTTCGCCCTTAACTGGGTCTACAAGAACATACACCTATTTGGTGGCGATGCGACCCGAGTCACGGTCATGGGAGAATCAGCTGGAGGCGGATCCATACTTCACCAAATCACAGCGTACGGAGGCACCCGAGGGCCATCCCCATTCAGACAGGCCATCGTGCAGAGCCCCGGCTGGGTACCAGTCATCAGCGAGGGGCAGCAAGAGAGTACGCTTCAGCAGTTCCTAGGGATCTTGAACGTCAGCACCATTGAAGAAGCCCGCAAGCTACCATCAGCTAGGTTGATTGCCGCCAATGCTTACCAAGTATCAACCAAATCCGAGTGGGGACAGTTCACATACGGCCCTACTGTAGACGGGAAATTTGTTCCTGCTTTGCCAGGCCAGCTCTTACTTAGCGGTGACTTTGACCACAATATCAACATGATGGTTGGTCACAACGCCGATGAAGGACTCATATTTACCTCCCCGGATAGCCTGAACAGTAGCGGCCTGATGTCTCAGTTATCGAAACTATCGCCGAACACCCCGAAGAACGTATCAGAATTCATCACGGACGTTCTCTACCCGGCGGTGTATAACGGCTCCTACGGGTATACCGACTCAGTGCAGCGCACCGCACTGGCTATCTCCGATCTCATCTTTCAATGTAACATCGACTACATCAACCGTGCGTTCTTGAATCAGACGTATTCGTATCAATTCAGTATCCCACCCGCACTGCATGGCCAGGATGTCCCGTACACGTTCTACAACAATGGGTCGTCTAGTGCCTCTTCTGAAAGTTCCTCTTTATCCTCGATTGCTAATGTCACAGTGGCGTTGGCCATGCAGGACTTTTTCGCAAGCTTTGTTCAGCATGGCGTGCCCAATTCCCACTTGGCGCCGGCGTTCAAGATGTATAGCAAGCAGGGTCTGCTTATGAATCTTGATAAGAATACCATCCAGGAGGTGCAGGCTCCGATGAACAATGCGCGCTGTCGGTTCTGGCAAACTGCGCCCTATTATGTCCCGTCATGAGCTGTACACATGTTTGTTTTGCGTTGCAGGTCTATTATAACTATATAGCCGATCATAAACGTACCCACAGGCGAGCTACGCAGCCCGGAACATCATATCAAATGCGATAAACTGTCACTATCTCAACAACTACAACAAGTTTAATGCACTCAAGACTAAAATTAATAATTATTTCAATTTAAGTTAGTCTGTTATTAAAATGATGACAATGGCTTCGGTTATTCACTTCTTTCTTTACTTGTCATTTGGAATAGTAAATTCAATGTGTTTATCCCCTGGTAAGACCAACCTAGCTTACCCCTGTTAAACAACTCGGATTTCAACCCACAAATAGAAACCTACATTCTTTCAATGTTAAACTCAATTATTATTCGCCCAAATGTTAGTTTTAGCGTCTAGACACGGCTCTGGGGATATCGTATATTATACGCCGCTCGAGAGATTACACAGAACCTACAGGAACCTACAAGGACAGTGTGCGAAGGCAGTAAGTATCGTATCGCCCGATTTCCACGGGAGATGATAAAAATGGGTGTTATGTCTCGGAAAGGCGTCGTATCAAGTTCAAAGTTCACTGAGTGTTCGGAGGAATATGAGGATGCCCAGATACTCACAGATCAACGAATAAATAGCGTAGTAGATGAAGTAATAAAGTAGTAGCGTTTTGACGAAAGTAATAGCTTAAAGAAGAAGTAGGGGGAAGATTAAATAACTTGGTATATATAAATATAGGTGCCTGGTAGATATTAGCTATATTAGGCATATATAAATAGTAATAACCCTAGTTTATTATAGCTTTTTACTACTATATAGTTAGGTAGACTAAAGTAGGTCTTTTAGGATAGATAGGTATAACATCTGGTAATATAGCTTTTTCTAAGGTATAATATTTTTTCCTTAGTTTTACTATATTGTAGTATAGTAATTCAATACTGCTAATCTATAAATTCTGTTTAAGATAATATAAAAAAGATTTATGTACGAGATATTCTCTTCTGCTGTGAATATAAATGAGGTATTGGATAAATTTGTGCCCAGGATATCTATGCACTAGGAGAGAATTGTAATGCGAGGTTGTCGGAAATTATGAATCAATATTCTACTTTAATCTTATTGTGGCTGATGGCGTACAGCTGTATGGAGAGTATACCCTTGAAGAGTATTGGGCTGCGAAGCACATAGACAGAGATGTAAAAGGACTGGTAATATACTATAAACTGAGATAATGATAAAGGTTATAATAGAGGATGTGATGGAGCTTCTGATTATATTTTTTATTGTGTTTGATGGTGTTGAATGTAAGAGCTCTCTCTTTAGATAATGTTGATGTTGTTGAGGTCAGTAGGTAACCTCTGCAGTTAAGTATTACAGTGGCTATATTGGGCTCTATCTTTACTGATGGGAAATATAGAGGGGAAAATATATGGCTTCTACTGTATAGATGTTAATACTAGGGCAGGAGCGAGGTTAAGAGGGTAAATACTTCTCTTTCTGCCAACGCCTCATAGGTGGTACAGTAATTAGCTCCCACTGCCGGCCTGAATCTGGAGGGGAATTTGGACTACTGGCTATGCATTACTATCTCTGGGTTATACAGCTGAGGTCACAGAGGGGTGGGTGGGTGCACAAGTTCGGACTGGCAGTGACGGAGTCGAACTCGGGGTACAATCATTTTTTTTGGCTTTTTTTTTTCGTTTTCTTCTGGGTAGAAGTATTTAACTGGGTAATTTCTTCCAATTCATTTTTCCAAAAAGTCATTTTTCAATGGTGGTTTGTTGATTATTGCTATATCGTGTTGTGATGCTTGGGGTGGGTTGATGTTGAAGCCTCCTAAGTCAAGACCACAGATGCATAGCCCCACTTCTTTCCGTTACGACAAGGTTGATTGTTTGAAACCACCTACCTGCTAGCTCGAATTTATTTTATTTTCTCAAAAAAAAAACCCCAAATCCTATTTAACTGAAGCCAATGTGGGTTAGTATTCCCTCACAGCGATATCCGCCAATTCAGCCTCAATGGATTCGGCAACCATCACGCAAATTTCGGTATGGTCGTGGTCGTGCCCCGCACAACCGCACCAGGTCGGACCGCACAACCATAGCGGATTCACTTTTAGTCTCCCCATTGGGGATTAACACAGAACACCACAAGAGGGTATGAATCCATTGTCCCAACAGTCTGGTGAGACTGTCACCCGGTGCGAGCTCACTGGGAGATTATGAAACCATGAAGCGATATTCGTTGCCTATATACATTTCAAGGTACATAATATTTATACATGCGTCTCATATTTCCAAAGATAGATTCCACCGTCGAACTGGATTTTAAAATCCACCCTTGCCAGGAAGGCTACTTCCATGCAAAGCAGCACATCCCTTCTCGAACTCAGCTGGGTCCAGGAAATTCGCAAGGGTTCCATTCTTGTATCCCAGGCCGACAAGAGTTCTCTTTGGTTCTGTAAAAGGTCAGATAATCAGATCAAAGCACATACTTTTCGCAAATAATTCTTACTGGACGGATCAAATGCAGGCCAGCCAATGTTCTCCAATCCGTGGCGGGGGTCACTGGCGAAAGCCACCCAGACAGCACCCATGTACCGAGAGTACTCGTCTTGTGCCTCGCTGTTCGGGATTCCAGTCACCTCTTCGCCACTTCCAAAAAGCATGGGAATATCACTTCCGTGATAGGCCCCGCTGCCAGAGTAAAGGCGCTGACTGTCCCAGTCACCGAAATAGCGAGATTGCCAGGCGGGAACGGCATAGGCCATGCGATCTTCCACTGCATTCTTGCTTGCGCAAGTGAATCCTGCTAGATTGAATCTGTCCCATGCAGAATCACTCAGGGAAATATTATTGGCGAACGCACTGATATGGTAGAATCCGGGCTCGTAGTCATTGCTATTTGCCAGATAAGGCTGGGAGGGGTGAGTTGGGAGCATCCATTTACGGATCTGTGTGAAGACTCACGATGGAAGCGAACTCGCCACTGCGAGATCGGCTTGGGTAGTCGCTGAAAACAGTGATGTTGTCGACAGTCGGGTGGAAGACAGGCTGGGGAAGAGCAGGCGACGGCGCGAATGGTACCTTAGCAGTAGCCTTCACTACTTCTTCCCACGATTTTTTGCGCAAGCACTTAACAACTTCGTTAGATTCGCTGTCAGCGTTACCACAGTCCAGAGTCTCTGCGACGTGGTAAAAATAGCTGGCAGTCTGGCTGGGAGTATTGGGCACGAAGCTCAGAGCTGTTCCGGAAGTGAGAGATCAGGCCAGCAACAAGGGGCTTGGCCTTCCAGGCGTAGGAGTAGTAGTCGACCGAAGCACCGCCTGCGGACTGACCAAATATGGTGATACGATCAGGATCTCCACCAAAACCAGCAATATTCTGGTGCACCCATTCAACAGCCATGCGCTGATCGAGAAGGGCCACATTTTGAGGAAGACCCGGTGCTCCGGAAAAGCCGAAGATGTTGAGTCGATAGCTGGTATAGGTTAGAAAGTGTGAGTGAATCAATGACTGGAAATTTATAAACGAACTTGAAAGTCACGACGACCACATCTTGATGGTCGGCTAATCCTTGTCCATCATAGTATGCACTGTGGGCACCGCCAATCGTGAAACCTGAATACTATGTTAGGAATATACCCCTCGGGGAGAAAACTGTGGAAACTCACGTCCACCGTGGATGAACATCAAGACTGGCTTGCGGTCCGACACGGTAGGTCTTGTCCAGATGTTCATATACAAACAATCCTCGTCCTGCTCGTTACCGGTCGTGAAATCCCTCATGATCTGCTTGGCCTGTGGGGTAAATCCAGGGTAGTCCGGAGGTTGTGCGCTATTCGCAGGGCAGTCCCTATGCACCAATTAGATTCTGAACCCTCTGATAGGGGCTCAATATTGTACATACAGGCTCTGGATTTGGTATCGGTCAGTCACATTGCAGCAAATGTTAGTTGATGATCTGATCACGTACATAGGAATCTGCTCGGATTATAGCGCCATTGGATTCGTAGGCCACCGGGGCGGCAAATCGAAGGTCTCCCACAGGCGCGGCAGCATAGGGAATGCCCAAATATTCAGAGACTCCAAGCTTGCGCTGAGCAGCGTGACCGGCGATTGAGCCGCTTGTTGTCTTGACCGTGGCCCCAATGTGCTTGTCAGGATGATCAGAGCACCTCTGAGACCAAACAGCAGGGAGACATGTCGCTAGTAAAGCGACTGAGCCAATTGGCTTCCAGAATTGCACCATTGTTGGGTTTTGACGCGCTGCAGAAGCCCAGAAAGAACCCCTTCCGGAGACACTGACAGGTTATAACGGCGCTTATGCGGAATTCACCTCACGTCCCGCCTGAAACAGGGAGAAGCGGGCTGCTGTTTATTCCACCACAGTTGTTCCGGCCGGCAAACGGGTTGCCGATCGCTATTTTATTTGAACAGGGTTTCGAGTCCACCGCGAACGCCATGATATGCATGTTCGTCGACGGTGGCTTGGCGGAGAGATCAAAGCTGGTCGTCTTGCTGTAACCTGGTGGCTTTTGGAAGCAATTGTATTCAAAGGATTCAAAGCGGGGTATGACTTCCTCCACTTTGATCGGAATTCATTGGTCCAAGGCCGGAATTGGCGTCTGCTCCGTAGTGAAAGGATCTTGATTGCAAGTTACACAGCGGCCCCACCCGGATATGTCTGGCTCCACGTTGCATTTTTCGCCAATGTTTATGGCCCCCGAATGTTTACGGCCCCCTGGCAGGAGGGTATGTACTAAAAATAGAAAATAAAGACCTTCAGAACCATGATACTCAATGTAATATGGTGTAACCATGTTTAGTGATTGCATAAAAATACTGGAAAGAAGAAGAGAACTTGAAGTTCTTCTGCCGGGGATTCCGCGCTCCGGCGTCAAATAATGTAACTATTGAACAGGCCATATCAAATGTGGGTTTGCAGTGGGGCCGAATTTAGTATTGTAATCTAGATCCTTCAATGCTGGAGCCCCGACGGACTATGCGATCTTATGTAATAACATAGAAATTATGTAGTATTTAATATGTCTGCGCCGACTTTCCCCCTAGGCTGTTCAGAAATGGGCAGGGCTAAGGTTGTATCGAACCTCAGCAGAACAACTTGAGTTTCTGCAGAGCATACCAAATGGGTCTTCCAATATTACGTCCCCTTCCTTGCACCACACCCAGTTAAATATATCAAAGCTTCCGGCCAGTGCATTTCGGCAGCAATTGTGCATCGTCAATCTTCAAGTTGGACTGTCATGTCCTATGAAATCGGACTGGCCACCCCCGACACGCCAAATCGGGGCTTTCCGCTATGGCTTTGTAGCGTACTGATGGTCATTCTGGCAGGAATATTCGTCCTGTTAAGATTGGCCATTCGTTTTCACCGTGGTCGATTGGGCTGGGATGACTGGACGATTCTCACATCTCTAATATGTTCGGTTTTGCTCACCATCACTGAGTGCTCAGGTATGATCGGTCAATTAGACACTAGACAACCTCTATACATCGGACTCTCAACTAACATTGCATTATCTCCAGCCGTTCACAATGGTTATGGTAAGCATGCTTCGGACCTCAGCCACGCCGAACAAATAAGAGCATTGAAATGGTTTTTCGGTGCACAAGTCGTGTATAAAATCGTCATCACCGTTAACAAAGTCTCTTTCTTCTGCCTCTACCTTCGTATCTTCACAATGCCAACCTTCCGCCGCATCTGTTTCATCGGGATCGGCGTCGTCACATCGTGGGGTCTCGCCTACGTCCTTGTCACCATATTTCAATGCAAACCGATAGCTTCGTTCTGGGACAAAGGGATCAAAAGCCCAAAATGCTTAGACAACGAGGCAATGTGGATGTCATACTCGGTGATCAACATTATCTTCGACTTGATAATTCTCACACTTCCAGTTAAACCAATCAGGCAGCTGCGATTACCAAAGGCGAAGAAGATCGGATTGTTGGTTATCTTCGCAATGGGCACATTGTAAGTCCCCTACTTACAAGTATTTATCCTTTTAAATTATCGGACTCACAAAGGCATTTACTATACAGTGTCTGCGTAACCACCATTATCCGAACCACTACACTTGTCAGTTCCGCCGCCGACAAAGATTCCACCAGTACGATCACTACCTAGAAGGCCTTCCTCTTCCCAAGCCACAAACTGATAGACACAGGTGGACCAATTCCCGCAACTATTTGGAGCGTGATTGAAGCCAATACCGGAATCATTTGCACTTGCCTGCCTGTGTTCAAGCACCCGTTGCAAATGTTCTTCCCAAACCTCTTCTTTTCGCAGCACCACACAGATCCATACAGTCGTAGCGCACCGCGCCGGACTCCACTTGCGAGCAGCTCCCAGCGCAATTTGCACGATGCCCATGATGAAATTTCTCAGGATAATCCGGTAAAGGGCTTCGAGATGTTGACACCGAGAAGTCAGGAAGATGTTGCGAAAAGTAGGATTACGATGGTTACAGATTTTAAAATAACTTATGGAAAGGACCAAACATCTATTGCTTCGGCGATGCCGACTGGGGTGAGGGAGTTCCAGTAATTTCTTCATATAATCACACTGCTGAATAAAGATTAGGGCTTTAAATTATAATGCTATACTACTAGACAGTTTTTTTAAATCAAGCAATGACAGGTAATATTAATAAATTCCGTGGAGTGAATCGCCATATTGGAAAATGCTACGCTAGGCTATGAGTAAGGAAGCGAACTTTTTTGCCGGTGCGTTCTTGATGGTCTGAGTCGTTCCGTAAAGAGCGATAGATACCTTCGATCCACCGTCAGCGACTTGCAAGACTACAGCCGCCGTGCCAATATTCATGATGTTGAAAATGTAGATAAATTCTCCGGTGAAATTATTGTTGGAGCTTCCAGGTTACAGATTGTGAACTGACCTGCACGCAAATAAGGGGTTGACACGATCGCCCGGGTTTTGGGGCTGAAAAGAAAAAGGGAAACAATGATCCCTATCCCACGGGGGTGAGGAGAATGCTATGCATTCGCTTTTAGGGTTTCCGCCTCAGTATGGCCCCACCGCTCCTATTTTCCTATGCATTCGCTTTTCCGTTGCGATGCAGCCGTTCGCGTATCCTGGGGTCTAGACGCTCCCGACTGGGGCGATTCGTTCTCTAATGGCCCGTTGACGACTGCCTTTACTTTCCCCGTTTTCCAAGCCGTCGAAGGGGAATCCTGGTACGGCTGAAGTTGAGCGTCATCTTTTGATGGCATACGACCGGGGTGAGATCTGCATTGAGTAGGGTTTTTAGGGTACTACTTTTATTACCATTGCTGAAATACGATGTATTATTTTTGTTTCTTGTATAGTAGGTATGTCTTACTAAACCAGATTTTCAGGGGTCATAGTTTCTAGACTAGAAAACCATATTACTCGGTCTTAGACTGACTGTGAGCGTGAGTCCCTAATGCTATAGTATTTATTTACTAATTGATACTAGTTTAGTTTGACTTGTCCTAGTAGTATGAAGTACTGAGTACTATTTATATATTTCCAGAACGTCCAGGACTGCGTATCCACATAGCCAGGCTTTACGCAAGACCTGCAGGAGCTTATATTCCCCCTCCATATACAGTACCCTATTCCTAGCTACTGTAGTATTCTCCCGGGAATGGTTGACCATTCCACGCTTTTCGTCCGTGTGCTCTATAGTAAAGTGCCTGGTGGACTGTAGCGACCTGGTCTGCCATTACGCAAATTTGACCGTGTACTTCAGCCAATTGTTACGCGATGTTGCCTCGCGTTCCTACTGCTCTCTTTACCAGAGACGTCACTGAAAGACAACTAATTCTAGCTTAGCTGGAAAGTTATATAGCTATAGAGATCTTACCTTGTCCTTTTTTTTCCCTTGGAACTTGATAAAGCTAGAATCAATACCTATCTTTATAGAAATAGTTTATCATATTTATTCTATAGGTATTTTGCCTTAGGCCTCTAGTTTGTCAGAAGCTTTTAAGACTTATGTTCCTACTTCAGTACCTTTAGGTCTTAGAATAATCTAGACCAACTTACTTTAGGCAGTAGCTAGGGATTTATCTTCCTAGTGGTCTTCTGCTAAAGTAAGCTGTAATGGTTACTAAGTTGTCAGGCTAGAGACCTGTGATAGGCAAGGATATTGGACGGTAGAGATCAGATTGGACAGTTGACACACAGACTGATTCTTGAAGAGATCAAGAATCCTGAATACTTGTGGGATCTTTAAATACACCAGTGCTCAGATGGATATTGATATGCAAGCGGCTGAAAGGGGATTCGCCCATGAAAGGGGATTCGCCCATGAAAGGGGATTCGCCCATGAATTGGCCTCGAGAATCAGGGGTATCGCTAGACCTTGCCAAAGCCCGGGCCGGGCTTCTATAGGGGCCCGCAGCCCACAACAAGCGGCCCGTAGGCCTCAGTTTTAGGCCTGGGGCTATAGGCCCCTAAAAAGCCTATGGGCCTATAACCTGCCTATTTAGGAAAGAATCCTATACAAAACTTATCAAAAATTCAATCAGTCTTATAAATTTCTTACAGGTGTATTAGAGTGTTTTTATTTTATATATATTTATAAGGATTTAGCTCTAGTACTCAGTCTAAGTATTCTATATACTATATAATTTGAAAGAATATAAGTTCAGTACAGTACGATTTTAAACTACTCCTAATATTCTATGATGAACTAATAGTAAAAGGATTGGAATGTTGAAGATTGAAAGGGGAATCAAGGTTTATAAAAAGATCGATGTGTGGGAGTTGCTCCACGGATAATAGGGAAGTGGAGCTTCAGTCAACACATGGAACCATGAGCTCATGTATATGTAGGTACTATGGATATGTATCTTCCTATATCGGTTAACGTTAATTGTTCATTCCAGTTGTCTCAGTGACAATATGTTTTCCGACTGAAAACCGACTATCGCTCTCGAAGCCCGAAGCGCACTCGTTCATACCAACGTCTGTGGATACGAAATTCCATTTATGCGGAAGAATCATCTTGCTCTGCTGTATCTACCATATGTCTCAGTGCCCTTCATTCATAACAAGGCGGTCACGGCTTTGGTCTCTAATTTAATCAACCTGTATACATGCCTTATTTTCGGCGTAATTGAGAGCGAATAGATGGGGTGGCGTGCGGTTGATGGGATGAGCCCATTCCTGGGCGAGCGGGGTTTTGTCGGCTCTCGGGCTGTCTCATACGGGCTTCGGTGGAGCCACGATGCAGAAAGGAATAACTGTAAGTAAAGGATTCCGCTCAGGCCTCTTCTTATATCGTCCCCAAGAGCGTATCGTTGACTTTCATAGGGTGTCTATTCGGGAATTGTCTCCAGCGGTAATGGAGACTCTTCCGATGAGCTCAACATCAGCTCGACCTTCCATCGAGGTATCGAGGAGAGTGACTCCAATGGTGTCGTTCATTTCCAATCTACCTTCCCTGGTAATTACACTAGCCGCGCCACTCACATCCATGGTATGACACGGCCACGGCCTTTTTTACCATATCCGCGGCCCTCCATTATCAGATGCGTTTGAGACCATTCGCTTACTGTGATTTTAGTTCTTACCCACCCGGCCAATGAGACTGAAGTTCTTGCGAACGGAACAATATCTGGCCTGTATACATCGCACTCGTCGCATGTTGGCCAGTTTTTCTTCGACCAGGATCTGATTTCTGCCATCGAGAAGATTTCACCGTACACTACCAACACACAAGACCTGACCACTAACGCCCACGACTCGATCCTTGCCGAGGAAGCCGATGCCATTCAGACATTATGGAGTATGTCTATCTGGGCGATGAGGTCTCTGACGGAATCTTTGCTTGGATCTCTGTTGGTATCGACCCAACCAAGGATAGCAGCGTTACCCCCGCAGCCTATACACTGAGCAGGGCGGTCCTGAGAACGAGAGCTCTGGTGGCATGGGCGGTGGCGGTGGTGGTAACGGATGCTCTCCCCCTGGTGCCTCCACTACCCGCGTTTTCGCTTGAGAGAGACTGTGTATGCTTCGCTTTGAACTATATTATGCTAGGAGGCTATGGGTATAATAGTGTGGTACCAGAAAAAACCTGACTCGGCTGTTTTCCCTATCTTACAATAACCACATTGTGGATTTATCTACGAACAGAAAAGACGTCGGTAATCAATGTTCTTGAAAAGCAATTTAATAATGCAATTGAGAAACTGAGCCGAGTACATGTTTTGAAGTGTATTTTTCATAGACAGCCTTACTATGGGGCTCACCGCAACTTTTACTCACATGTTGCTCTAGAATTTTGGGGACCGTGGCTAAATTGATGCACCAGAGAGGTCTCCTCCAGCAATTCCGATGTGTTGAACTCAGGAAGATGACGAACCGACAGGCCTCGCGACCATGGACCTAGGTGTGGAAGGCGATGGGTATTAGTCAATGACGACAAAGGATGTTGTGAAACGAGAAACTCAGCCAGAGTCGACGGCCATGCCAACCAACTGGCCAGCACAACAACACTATCAACTAAAATTGAGGCAGGGAGGATGCAAAAATCAGGATGGGAGAGTAAGAGAGATAAGGTGTTGAAATATGGAGGGTGCACTCCATGGCATTCATTTTTATTAATCTCATATGTTTACGGTTCGGGGTGGGGTTCGAAAGTGTTTATGGGCTGATTTCCACACTCCTTTCAAACCAGACTCTGTTTTATTTTTGGAATATCAAATGATTCCAGCTGTTCTTGCTTCAGTCGGATGAAGCGCCTGCATATTCATACGAAACTAGTTAGACTGCAACAGGTTAATTGAGAATTGATTGATTGATTGATTGATATCGGTGTGATACAAAGTCTTATTACTCTTGTATATACACTAGCAGAGTTTATGATTAATAGTCATCAAGCGAATCCGAAATATATGCCAGATTTTCAATAACAGCCAAACCATACTGCGCGGCATCGTTAGTTGCGAGCCATGCGGCCTCATCGACGGACACCAAAACAGCACTCCCATTCACATGCGTAGTGTTCCATGCAGCATCCTGTGCAAGTCCATCGCTTGCATAGAAGTCTTTCCAAGCTCGAAGTGCAAGAGTTGTATTCTGCATCTCATGTGCCGCATATGCTGCCAGTCGGGAGTGCGCTTGGTATAAGCTTTGGCTACCAAAGCTTACCCCGTAACGGGCCTTTTGCTCCGCCGCTGTGGCATGATAGTAGTAGCAGTAGTCCAACCAGACTTCGCGGAACCCTTCTGGTATATCATCGGCGAAATATGCGATAACCTCGGAAACAACCTCGGGAAGACCAAAGACAGCGGATAAATGAGAGACAGACACGTTTCCAAGATTGTCCGGGTCAGCAGGTGGAGGTCCTAACGTCCAAGTTACCGGGTCGTAAAGACCTGACCCGGTCACGAAGCCGTTGGTCAAGTTTGCGATTCCCAAGATTGTGTTGGTCAACTTTGTCCTAGCCTCTTCCCATCTCGAACCACGCCGCTCCCACTCAATCAACCACCCTGCAGCGAGACTCGACCAGTCCGTTCCAAGACTAAAAGCAACTGTCGAATTGGGGCTAGGTGTCCAGCCATCGGTACGAACCTTCCTACTCGGATCAAGCGTCCCATACGTCTTATCCGTGTCAAGCAACTCCTCCAGCAACTCCCCAATGCGCTCGTCCCCACCCGAGAGATAGAAAAAGTACTTTCGATACTGAGGTTGAGAGATACGTGCCTGTTTGGCGCTATCACCCCAATGTTGCACACCGTGACGCGTGCCCAGCCCTTTCCAGTCGCCGATGTGGTACACATCTACTTCACCTGTGTGTCGTGTAAGGGCCTCGGCAAACCGGTATGCATCTTCGTGGCCAGTGCGAAGGAAGTAGAGCCAGAAGAAGAGGTCTGGTGAAAGCTCCGAGTTGTCCCAGGCGTAACCGCCAACGTCGTACCGCCAGGTATGTCGGTCAGTGTCGTATGTGTGCATGAAATCGCCGTAATCCAAGAAGCCATACCAGCGCCGCTGCTCAATTTGTGTTCGGTAATATTCAAAGATAAAATCGAGTCGATCTTCCAGGGTACTTGCAGCATCGCTAACGCCTTCGGGGAGGGACCAGTATCCTCCGAGAGCTTGGGTTTCCTGGATATATTTCGACTCTGGTACCAACACGGGAGGATTGTTTATGTACGAAGAAAGTGAGGCGAGCCTGTCACTTGTCGGTGTTTCATCAAACGCAAACAAGTATATCTCGCTCGTTCGTGCGATTCCATAGGGGGTGTTGAAGGTGGGTTCATAGTCCTCGTAGGTGATCTCGAGAGCATCCAATTGATCTTCATATCCGTCCTCGTTCAGGCCGTCATGGAAGGGCCGAAGGTCCAATGGATCGGCAGCAGGGCTGTATAGCCAAAGAGTGACTTCCCCTGTGTTGGAGGCAGCGTTTGAAATGTCAAAGCCAGACGGAGAACGTTTCCAAAAGTCCCGCAAACCAAGGGCGAGGCCTCCTTTCGTAGCACCTCCCAGGTAGGCCAGACCTTCAGCACGTGTTCCGCTGGGGATTTTGATCCACGACTGGCCAGGCTTTGTCCGTTTTTTGAAGCTGAATCCGTCAGCCGTCAGTTGATTCAGGCTATAGTCTGTCCACGTGGGAATCCATTTGAGCCGGTTGGTAACCCGGCTGTCCCAACTTGATGTGTTTGCCAACTTGCGACCTTCATACTGAGCAGTTCTCACTTCTTCGCCAGGATCTCTTCGAAGTCCGGTGATTCCCTGAACAGCCTCATTGAAAATTCCGCCATCTACGCCAGCAAATCTGACGTGTCGATCATAGTACTCCTCGCCTTCTAATGGGACATCGAATCGAATACCGAGTCCCGCAATGAAGTCCTTATCGGATTCTCCATCAAAAACGATGCTATGCATAACTTTCACAGAGGCAGAGTTGGAATAGAGATAGAATCTAATGACAAACTGGAGCCATGGATCGTGATCAGGGCCGTCAGTCACCTCGTGATTTCCACGAACAGTGACGAGGGTCCGACTCGAGCCCTGATTCACAGATACCTCGTCAATGATGCTGTGGAAGTTGGAATATTGGATGGACGAGTTTGATCGGCTCTCAAAACCGTCGGGCACCGAATCCTGAGACTGAAGGACAAGTCTTCCATTTTCGCCGACCGTCTTGCCGCTCTTGTTCTTGATGGCACTGACTAGGATGTTCCCTTTCTTGGGAAACGAGACGGTAATCTCACCCGTGTTGACACGAACAACATCAGACCTATCAGTCACGATGATGGAGCTGTTCTTTATACCAGATTTCCCAGACGAGGCAGAACGAATGGTGCAGCCAGACGTTGCAGTGACAGTGTAGTTGTCGTGGGTTGAGTTAGATTCTGCGATAGCGTGGCCCGTCCATTTCAGCGAACCATCGGCCCAATAGCCGGTAGCCCAAGACTGCAATTGTTGTCTATCTTCGGAATTGCCAGCGATGGTGAACCTGGTGTTCCCGGGTTGATACTTCCCCTGCGGCCATGGCAAACCAAAGGTTACACCGGCATGATACGATGGCTGGCCGCCGAGCCAATGGACAGTCGCAGATGACGTGGTGCAGTTGGAAGCTGAAACCTGAGATTCAAGAAGCCCAACCAAAAATAGGATGCCGATGCCAAGTTTCGACATGGTGTGTTATCAGGCGAATGTAATGACTGACGTATTATCATATTTGGAGAGGCGGGCAGCGCCTCTTAAATGCCTCCTGACGCAACTGGAAAGAACTATGAGGACGAGAAAAAGAATCTTGGCAGTTTCAGTAGAGACAAGAGGAAATTACACCTTGGCATGAAGTACGTGGTGAGTTGAGCGACCATGACCGGGATGGTTCCAAAGTGGTCATGATTGGTGGTAAGATTTTACCGAAGGAAGTGGCTTCGGGGTCACATTGGCCTAACAATTGTTATAGCTCCTAAGACCCTTGTCATTCTCCCGCTTCAATTGCGAGATGCTTTCGGGAACATCGGGGCAAGGAAAGCGGAAGCGGGGAAGATAACTTCGGAAATATATTGTTCTGCTTGTTTTGGTCTTGGCCGAAAGAGGTTATTTCTCTGGGACTTGGCTAGGAAGGTGCGGGTGTCCGCCTTTGGCATGCGGAAGTAGCATCTTGCTCTCCAGGGCTGCTGTATCTACATAGTACCATATGTCGCAGAGCCCTACATCTATGAACAAGGGATAAGGGGGTCATGGTTTTGGTTTCTCATTTAATCAATCTCTCCACATTTCTTATTCTCGGCGTAATTGAGAGCGAATAGATGGGGTGGCGGGCGGTAAACCCCGCTCGCCCAGGAATGGGCGAGCGGGGTTTTGTCGGCTCTCGGGGTGTCTCATACGGTCTTTGGGGGAACCACAATGCAAAGGATCAAGTATTCCCTCAAATTTTATGCACCCCAGATTTAATCTCACGTACCCAAAGCTGGTACGAGAATATCCGTTTAGCAGAATGTCAGCATCTGTGACCAAGCATACCCACCATGATAAGGAAAGCAGCAAGCTGCCAGAGCTCTCGGTTGCCTGTAGTAACTGTCGCTACCGCAAACTGCGCTGCTCTAGGGAGACACCCGCATGTCAACACTGCCGCAAAACTGGTTAGCTAGTACATTCATATTTCCTCTGTCTTCTACGACAGGATCACTTCGTACAATGTCGCTAATTCGACCCCGGTATAGGGAGCGACTGCGTATACGAACCCAAACGGTCCAAGCCGGGGATTAAACTTGGGGCTATTGAAAATTTACACCGACGGCTAGGTATGACAATGAAGAGTGCTTCTGCTGGTGAACCTATAGTTAGGTCCACTCGGTATGCTTGTTAGGATTGCAGACGAGGCTCATATGTCCACCCCTAGATCGCCTGGAAGATTTTGTTCTCGATCGACTCGGAGACGATTCGCCAGGAGAGTCCAACCGACAAACACAGCCGAGTGCAGATGAATCTACGGCAAGTTTTTGTCTGCCTGCACTGGCACGGGAACCTCAGAGATTCAGCGACAAGTCGGTAACCAGGGCCGCTGATCGCCCAGCTAAACGACAACGGGTGGACAACCTCATCGGTCCTTCTCAGTCTTCGCTGCCCCATGTCGATCGCCTTTCAGTATTTTCTTTTCTCAATCCGAACACAATTGAAGATGTTTTGCAGACATACTTCGAGCATGTACACCCTTGGATCCCTCTCATACACGAAACCAGCTTGCGTCGGCGTCTTCTCGACACAAAATATAGATTAAAGCTTGACGTCTTGATGCGAGCCATGATATTAGTATCCGGGAGATATATACAGCGCCATGAGTCCGTATCCGACATCTCCCTGGCTAATCTGACTACAGAGCAGGCCAGGAGTCTGATTGTTTCGACTGCCATGGATTGCTTAAGCGTTGAAAATCTCCAGGCACTCGTAATTTGTGTGCTTAATGATGTGAGATCTTTCTATCCCAGTCATATATACTTACTACGAGATACTACACATTCTGAATCATGTCAACTAATTCAGCCTCCAGATTGGAAACGGGTGGGGGCAAAAGGCATGGTCCCTAGTCGGATCACTGACTCGGACTGTCGAATATTTGAAACTGACAGTTGAAGACGAGGAGTGCGGAGGCCGTACGTCGATTTCAAGGCCGTTTATATCTATCCCCCCTCCGGAGAGCTGGGTCGAGGCAGAGGAGCGACGCCGTGTGTTCTGGAACGTGTTCAACATTGACCGGTTTTGCTCCGTGACAATGGGCTGGCACACAAGCCTCACCTCAGATGATGTGCACCGTCGCCTTCCTTGCGATGGGGTCTATTGGAGAAGAGATAAACCCAATGTTACAGCTTTTTTTGGCATCTGGGACAAGTCAGCAGGGCGGATGGGGAACCCCATCGCCTTTCCTCCGGCCCATTACGTGTCTCCGCAAGGTACGGGGACCATTGAGGCCCCTGAACCGAGTCCCAACAACGTCAGCGGCCCTGGTTTATCACCGGAAGATCCTGGGATGGAGGCTGTTGGGGCTTTCGCCTACCGCATCGAAGCAACCGAGTCGCTGAGCCGCGTTACGACTTACTTCCTACAGCAAAAGGTCGACATGCACCGTCCAGAGAACGTCACCAGCTGGCTTACACGGTTCAAGGAACTCGACCTGCGCCTTGTGCATTGGAAGATGCTCCTTCCAAAGAAGTGGAACGCTGCCAACCCTACCTACACTACTGTCGGGCCCCACGACACGGCCTATCAGAACGGCACACCTAGTAGCAGTGGAGAAGCGACGGGACTTGAGGGCAATGCCAAACGCCAAACATTAGTGATGGATCCAAATCTCACACTGGCACACATCACCCATAATGCTTCCATGATTCTCTTACATCAACCTATCGCGTTTCCACCCCACGACTGGACTTTCCGCAGCCGCCTGCCCAGCAGTTGCTCTGCAGCGACCTGTCAGCAGGCGGCTGTCGAAATTGCCACTATCACTGAACAATACCTTAAAGTGTCTTCAGCAATGTCCCCCGTCTGTCCCCAATTCTCATTCTGCGTCTATGTGGCAGCCCGACTCCTTCTAGCCTATGGGACCTACTACGGCGGAGAGAGAACTGCTCTCTATTCCAAATCGGATGCCTATGATGGTAGGTTTTGGACGCTAGTGCAAAGTCTAGATAAGATGTCGCGTCGATGGAACGGAAATGTGCTGGTGCCAGAGACCACGACTTTGACCGAGGATCTGGCGGCAAAATACGCCTTGAAACTGAGAGAGATGAACGATATGTGCATGCAGGGCTTGGGCTACAGTATAAATGTCTTGGATTACACGCAAGATATCGACCATTGCAGCAGTAAGACCGACCCTATTGGAGGAGATCCAGTTCCTGTGTCAACTCAAAATGGCTCGACTCAACTGCCATATCAACAACTGCAGGCACAGCCAGCGCACAACTTTCAAGGCAGTGGAAGGCCCGCAGAGAGCCATCCAAACGTGGACCTCATCAATGCGGCACCGGCCATGGCGTTACCTTGGCGTTCATCCCCATTACAGCTCCCCAGAAATCTTAACGACCACCACCCGACAATGTACGGGAAAGAAACGTACTCTCCAGGGAAAGAACAAGCGCCCTGCGACCTGAATGCTATTTCACAGGTGCTGATGAGCCATCAATTTATGGATTTGGACCGTATCATCAGTTTCGACAAAGGAATGTTCAGTGCGAATCTAGACCGTTCTTGGTAAAGGGTCAATTATACCACACAGAGGCTGTAAAAGTTAAAAAGTATATGTCTCCGTGTACCCTGGGCCGGTCCTATGGGTTATGTGGAAGTCTAATATCTAAATATATGCCTGTTTCTTAGCAATACTGCAAGTTTCTACACTAAACCCATGCGCATCAGCTCGTTTCCAAATCTCACCAAGTAGTAATCACCATACACCAGGCCGTGGTTCGCATAACGCCTCTTCGCATTCTCATTGTTGTTAGCCGTCCCATGCTTGAGGATCGCATCGAACCGCTTTCCCTGCACAAGATCTTCCACAGCCAGACCCTCTTTAGACTCTTCGCCAGAGACAGGATGAAACCGTGCAGTTTCCCTCGCCAGTGAATAGTCCAGAGTGCCTCTAATCAAATCCACGGCTGCGTCAAAAAACCTCGCTGCAAGCATCTTCTCTCCCTCCGCAATCAGCGCCTGCGACAGCACGAGCAACCCATTCGCAGCGATGGCTGCCGCGCTGGAATCCCGCACGACCTCCTCGCCCTCACTCTCCGATGGAGCATCAAAGTCCCATGGTGGGGAAGTATACTGCGATTTTCCACCTCCACGATCCCGCGCAACAGGGTGCGTCTTCAACCTATGGAGAAAATACTCTGCCGTTCCGCACGCCACATTCAGAAATTCCATATCCCCGGTCCATGAGTACGTCTGTGCATACCCTAGTATTGCCCACGCCTGACCGCGAGCCCAGGTGGACCCGTCCCCGTACCCCTGCGCTGTCATACGACGTTTGATGGCGCCAGTCTTTGGGTCGATACATGTGACGTGGTTGGTAGAGTATAGCTGGCCATTGTACCTTCCGAACGTGGGTTGTGGAAGAGGGGGCTCCGGACGCAGGTGGGTGCGTATCAAAGTGCGGGCATGGGCGACGGCCATCTCCGCGAGTCGCCTGGAGGAACTATGGGCGGCGGCATAGAAGAGTAGGTCAAGATTGCACAGAGAATCGATGATTACGATAAGATTGGTATTCATATCCGTGATCCGCTCGTTCTTCCTGATCAAAAGATCCCAGCTGCGGATAGCCTTTGCGGAGGCAACGTATCTCGTTGCCAGGCTGTTGGCCGCACGGACAATAGATTCCAGGCTGCGAGAGTTGCCAAAGAGCTCCCAATCCTTGCGCAGAGCAGGCATGACAATGAAGCCTATGTCGTGTGTGTCCGTCCTGCTAGCCATGCCGTGCAACGGCTCCGACCATTTTTCACACATGGCGCGGAGCTGGTCTCGTCTCTCCTGTGGCGATGAACCGAGGAAGCATACAGCGGACTGGGGATAGCGTACTGTTCGTTCAAGCAGCTCGTACAAGGTCCCGGGGAAGAAGCCACATGTCCAGAAGTCTGCCTCTCGGAGATGGTAGAGGCTTGGCTTCTCGCCATGCTGAGGAACCTGGGGCACGTATTCGGGAAATACGCGAGGGAACTTCATCGCACATTCCTCGGGTGTCGCTCCAGCGCTAGGGAGAGACTCAAATGCGACCCGCCAGACCTTCGCCATAATGTTCTCGACAAAGAGCTCTGCAAGATGCTTCCTTAAGTTTGAGGAATCCACATCAAGATTGGGGGCTTCGGTGATTTCACTGACAGCAGTGACCTTATTGGATAAGGTTGCGTGAGGTGAAGGTGTGGATATTGAGAATAACGCCTTGGAAGCCTCTTGAGGGGGGCATCAACCCATGGGGGTTTGTGATTGTTGCTGTAGCAGGCATCGTTGCGCAGTCTGATTCTGAGAAAGGAACTTTGGGAGTAACTCTTGCCAACGACATTTAAATAGAAATGCCGCTGGCGCGTCGATGCCAGTGCTAACTCCAAGGGTTTTATGAAATCCACAAATGTGATTGTCGGTCCCGCCGCTGTACATTAACCGACGTTCGATAGCCTTAGGTAAAACTCAATGCTCCACGCTGTGCTTGTACCTTGTCATTCCCAACGCCAATCATCCGACAAATGTCACTAAGGCGGCACGACTGCGTCCCTTCTGTGGCGTTGTTCTGAAGCCCTAGGCCCATTTTGCGGGGTAAAATCCTCCGGCATATAGCTGGATCGCCCGAAGTCCGCGGCTTTTCCCCCGAGCCACTAAGCAGCAAGGACCCCACCTGTGTGTTCCTGCACAACTTACACTGCGATTGGACGTCTCTTTCAGCCATGAAATTGTCTTTAAACTTCAAAGTCGTATCATTTTCCTTTACCCCGAACGCTGGCGTCTATATAGACGCTGTAGCGTTCAGGCCGAGGTCTAGCAGTGACCCAGTTTTCTCTGACCACAGTTATTCCTTCCTTTGGACCTGAAAATAACCTCAGAAAGAATACGAGTCCAGCAAAAAATGGCCAGTGGAAACAGGGTGGCCCGGCCGCCTACCGCCGACGAGCCTTCCGACACAGCAAAAGCCCCCGTCGTGAGCTCCTCGACCAATCGACCAGCAGCTCCCTCGCTGTGGAAGGCATGGAAATATATCTTCGATTGGTACCCAAGCCACTATTCAGATGAGGAGCGCAAGCTTTTGCGCAAGCTGGACTGCTTCATTATGCCGCTGTGCTGTCTGATGTGTGGGTATTCCTCTTTTAACCACCCCCGAACAAAGCGGGCCATGAAAGTGAATGCAGGCATTCAGCGAATGAACTATCATCCATCTTCGGATAGAAGACCTATGAGAGAAGATAACCATATACTAACGTTGACGTATCTAGTTTTCATCAAATGGCTTGATCAAGGCAACATCAATAACGCGTATGTTTCGGGCATGAAGGAGGAGCTTCACCTGAGTGGGAACCAGTATTCCTTGTTTGGGACATTCTATAATATAGGATATCTCCTCTTTGAGATCCCATCCATGATGCTGATCTCGCGGCCGAGCCTATCCCGCTACTATCCGCCGACCATGGAGCTTCTCTGGGGAATTGTGACATTTTGCCAGGCACGCCTGCGCAACGAGCACGATATCTTTGGCATCCGGTTTCTAATGGGTGTGCTCGAGACCCCGGCGGCCTCGGGCAGCATCTACATTCTGACCTCATGGTACCGCGCCGATGAGGTTTTCAAAAGAGCCGGAGTGTGGTACGTGAGTAGCAATGTCGGCTCAATGTTTCGGAGGATATCTGCAAGCTGCCGCGTACACCAATCTGAATGGTGTTTTGGGTATGGACGGCTGGCGCTGGTTGTTCATCATAGTGAGCATTCTATGGCTCCCTTTTCTGACTACAGAATAGTGATAAGAAACTTACGTGTTGCCACACAGGACGGTATTATTAGCATTCCAATTGCAATTGCCGGGTTCTTCCTTTTCCCCGGCATACCGCAAAGCCCCCGAGTCTGGTGGCTCACCGAGCGGGAGCAGCAACTTGCGCGCGCCCGAATGGGCGATGATGGCGTCAAGGAGAGCAGGAAGATAGGAAAGCGCATGCTCAAGCGCGTGTTTACGCACTGGCATTTCTACATCGCTATCACCACTTACATCTGGTAAGTCCCTAAGCGTAGTGTTTTGCAGAGCTGAACTGACTCTTGAGATAATCTCAAGCTTTCAGTGTACTACCTATGTTGGCGGTCAAATGGCCCTGTGGCTAAAACACGAGGCTGAACAACACGGCACTTACACCATCCCGGAGATCAACACAATCCCAACTGGTGTTCAGGGAGTCGCTGTAGTGACCGGCATCCTTTTTACCTCTCTTTGCATGGTCTACCCGATCTGGACTACCTTTACGTTCACAGCCGCAGTTCTTCTCTTTTGCAATGTCGTTCTTCTTGTATGGGACATTCCCGTCGGGCTTCATTTTACGGCCTACTATCTTTTGGGAATGACCTCTTGCATTACTCCAATCCTATTTCCTTGGGTTAACATGATCATGAAAGACGATGCCGAAGCTAGAGCCTTCACAACGGGAGCGATGGTGAGTTTAGAGTTTTCTTTTTTGTTTTGTTTGTTTGCTCTTCCTTTTCCTTGGGCCATCAGATTTCTCCGGAGTTAGCAGAGTTAGCACTAATCTCAGTTTGTTCTCGTAATTAACAGATGACCTGCGGGTGGATCTTCTTTTCCTTCTATCCAATCACGGCCTTCCCCGTTCTCGAGGCACCTAAGTGGCGCAAGGGCTTTACCGTCAACACCGTTTTGACTGTCGCTTACTGGTGCCTGTTTATGTTGGGACAGTACCTGTGGACGCGAGAGCTGAAGCGACGCCAAAGCCAGGAGGTTGTCGATGGAGACATGGTTGAGACAGAGAAGGAGGCCAAACTAGGCTCGTCAAGCAACCATATTGAAACCACAGCCAGGGATGAGATCAAGGTTGAGAGTGTGTGAACAGAGGAAGTAAATTAATTTAATGTGGCAAGGTCGAAATATTTGGCTTGAACGGTTGATTAGTATTCTAGTAAACTTTTATCCTCAATCGTCATCAATTCTTGGAGTACCTTTAATTCGTCTTTTGGAGCCGCGAAAATTGAGAGTAGGACATGAAGAATATAATCACCCGAAATGCATAAATTGTCCCGAGGACCGAGAGCAGACTTGGCACCAAATGGACTATAAGTGCCCCGAGACCCCATGTCTTGAAACCTCAAATTTCCCTACGAATATCCAACTCTCAATCTAGCCCCGCACTTGGAAGACTAGGCAGAACTACAACCCATGGCCGCACTCCCAGGCTTCACGAACAACCCATTTCGGACCCGCTCTGACCTTGTACGGGCTAGCGCCGCCCTGCTAAAGCCACTGGAGCAGCGCAAGTCCCCCCCAAAAGGCCTTTATCAAACTCTCCACAGCCACGGCGGCAGGGTTTGATGAGGTCTCCGCCCAACTCGAGGGCTTTGCACGGCCGCTCTGGGCTATCGCGAGCCTCCTTGCTCCCGCAACTAATACAGATAGTCTTGGCATTGACGTGGACTCATGGGTCTGCGGCTTACGAGCTGGCACAAACCCAGAGTCTTCTGAATACTGGGGTGATCTGGGCGACTTCGACCAGCGCATGGTGGAAATGGAGAGCATCTCGTATGCGCTGCTGATGGCCCCTGTACCATTTTTGTCCGGGATGGACGCGATGGCCCGGGAAAATCTAGAAAGGTGGCTGCGCCAAATAAATGGACGGACAATGCCGGAGAATAACTGGCGCTGGTTTCGCGTGTTGGTCAATCTGGCGCTGGGGTCCCAGGGCGAGGACGTTGTGGCCCAGGACTTGAAAATGCTGGACTCGTTCGATCTTGGTGAGGGATGGAGTAGCGATGGGCTCTGGGGTAATAAGACGAAACAGGCCGATTATTACTCGGGAAGTTTTGCAATCCAGTTTGCACGGATGCTATATGTGAGGTGTATGGAGGATAGGGGCTTGAATTCCGAAGACCAGAGTAGAGTTGAGAGGTACAAGCTGGAGGCACGACAGTTTGCGTTGGGGTTTTGGAGGTATTTTGATGTGGATGGTATGTTGGCCTATAAAACATTCTCATCTCTCCACTATCTAGATACTTGCCTCCGAATTCTCTATACCTGAATCCGAGACATATAATTTTGGAACATAGTACTGACTTAGCGACTTCTAGGGAGTGCTATCCCATTTGGGCGGAGCCTGACGTACCGGTTCGCATTCGCGGCATTCTGGTCCGCAATCGCCATCGCCGGGGTACAGCTTGACGCACCACTCAACAACATCGGCGTGGTCAAAGGTCTCCTCCTCCGCCATCTACGCTGGTGGAGTAGGCAGCCTGGCATCTTCAACACTGATGGCACAATCAATATCGGCTATACCTATCCAAACATGTTCCTTAGCGAGAACTACAATTCACCGCAGTCCGTATACTGGTGTTTGAAATCATTCACTATCCTTTGTCTACCTGAGAGCCATTCTTTCTGGACAGCAAAAGAATTACCGCATCCACTTGCTGCCCGCCTTTTGCCCGCCCAGCCGCTCCTCGATGAAGTCAAACTCCTCTGGCCACCCCGACATATTCTATGCAGCGGACGCAGCCATCACTTTCTGCTCTCATCGGGCCAAGGAACCACAAAGGCCCACCGCGCTAGAGAGGCAAAGTACGGTAAGATGGCGTATTCATCCTTCTTTGGATTCAGCGTTCCCAGTGGCAGACTGCTAGAGCAGATGGCTCCGGACAGCACACTGACTGTCAGCCTCGATGACGGCGACGCATGGATTATGCGTGAAAATCCGTTCAATGTACGGGATCGGCAGATCTCTATCCTTACTTCCGAAGCGGCTGCTGGGATGGGAACGGCAGCGAGAACCGTGCCGGCTCTTGTTAGTACCTGGAGACCCAAGAAGGCAATTGACTTCGAGGTCCAAACTACCCTAATTCCTGCGTTAGAACTGTGGTCAGGATGGCACTTCCGTATACACAAGGTGAAGTGGTCACCGGCAGCCATCGTACCTGGGTCCATCAGGTTAGTTGACGCAGGCTTTGCGGCTTCTGGTGCGGCAAGATCGGGCCTGTTGTGTCCAGAGATAGATTTGGAGAGGCTGTTGGATCAGGATACTGCTGTGGTGGAAGCATGGGGGAAAGACGAACAGAGGTGCTTGATCTTCTCGGATGGTAGCGCCAGTGGTGTTGTCAATCTACAAAGGGATTTGATGCTTGCGCCGCAGTCAGGAGGTTGCAGGCTTGCGACCGAAAGTCTGGCATTACTGCTGCGAGCAGATGCAAATACTAATTTAATCATGCAAAGGACCTTGATACCTGCGGTTCGGCACACACTGGTCGCGGAGGCCGAGAGCAAATCTCCGGCGGAGATGTGGTTAGCGACGGGAGTATTCGCAGTTTCGAAGACATCGGGAATTGATGTGATGGAGAGCCAGAAATTGTGGTTAAAAAGACCAAGAATCCAGGTGATAACAAAGCCAGGGGAAGAAGATCAGATCCGAGTTATCCTTTACTGAGATTGGCTGCTTCTTGTTTTGTTAAAAAAAAATGATTCACGCTTGACCAATAACTAATGAAGGGCCGCTATAAAAAGTCTCTTCCTGTATCGAATGATCTATAACGTACTTCGATAAACCCCTTTAGTGACGCATCCGAAAGCAATCGATAGTTGATGGATACACGCATTCGGTTGTCCTTCCATCTTCAGGCTCAAAGGCTGGTCTCCTTTGATGGCTCCCTATGAATCACCAATTAGTTACCGGAATAAAGTAATTACTTCTTTCGAGCGAAGATGTTTGAAAGGGAGCGGTTGATCTATATGGAAAGATGCAGCTATTCATAGTCGCAGCAGCTCATCCCTAGACCTGTGCAATGGGCCACCTATGGGCCGAAATTTTGCAAGCCGCCCATGGGCATGCCCCAAATTACATTAATTTTATGATTTCCTGAGCATATATCTTAGTGGTATTTTTTAGCGTTCTAAAATTACCTTAATTATGGAGAATTACAGAATAAAATACAATTGAATAAATATATATCTAAGCTGAATATATATATTTATATATCTATAAGGTAGTCTATTTATTTGTATATTATACCTAATAATCTTAATCTTAGTAATCCTAGATATTTTACTACTTTCTTTTAGAAACAGATATATCTAAGGCTAATATAAATTCTCTATATTTTTATTAATATTTCACTAATTTATTTTAGAGGTAGATTTTAGATTATAGAGAGTACAAATTTGACTTAATATTGTCTCGGTATTATCACTAGATTAGTTAGATCAGTGAATAGCCTACCGTTCGTAGTTATACTTCGGATAATCCGTTACAAACGAGCAAACACAATTTTTGTCTAACTCAAATTTATTGTTTGTACTGATAAGCCAGCCGCTGAAAGTGGGGCTCTGAAATACAAACGGCAATATTCTTTAGAAAACGTCATTACTGCTTATTAAACTTTTAATCCGTAGATAGGATAGGACCTTAGAGAAGACGATTAGAGTTTGGATTATTAACTCTAACGGAGTTTAGCGTACGGTCGCTTTTTGTCAAGTTCTCGCTTGTTTCGGGAGGACTTAAGCTCGATGCTTACAGCCACACCTATAACTTACATGGAGAGAGTTAGCATAATGATTTCTTTACTTAGAATTGTCTTCGTCTCTAAAAAAATGAGATACTTTCTTTTTTTTAATTTCCAATAGAAGCGACCAGGCGAATGTGAGTGGTACAGTTGCTGGGGTAATGTATTGTAAGAACTGTCTTGCTACTATTCCTTATTTTGCGATACGGCTAGTTAAGCCTAGAGCGTATCACTCCCCAAATCCAGGAATGAGACCCCGGTTAACAAGGTTTATTGGCAAGAGAGTGCCACATTTTGCAACAAAGAACTTGATGTGGGGGAATTCAATGTTGGAACTCGTAGATAAATTTGGATCTGACGAAGTATGCCGGTCATAGTCCATATCATTGACGACACTATGGTAAGACAGAGACCGCATCCGGGCAGCAATTCGACTATATAAACTTGGTCTAGTCTTACCCGGATCACACATCAATCATTGATTACCAACTAAGAAAGATAACATTTGGTTCTATCTTTACAGCTATCATGTCTGCCACCACGGATCGCACCCCTGTACGGGACCAAGCTGAAAGCGATGCCTGGTTCCCATCCCCTTACTCGCTCACCCAGTACACGTCTTCTAAGACCGACTTTGACGGAGCTGATTACCCTAATCCTTACAAAGGTGGCAAATGGAAAGTCCTTCTCATTGGATCGCAAGAGCGTTATCTCGAAATGGCCGGTGGCGAGTTTTTCTCCACTGGTAACCATCCAGTAGAGATGCTATTGCCCATGTATCACCTCGACGCTGCAGGCTTCGACATCGATATTGCGACTCTCTCTGGTGACCCCGTGAAGTTTGAAATGTGGGCCTTCCCGCAGGAGGACAAAGCGGTCAAGGAAATATACGAGAAATACAAGACCAAAATTCGCAAGCCCCTCAATCTTCATGACGTGTGGGGCAAAGGCTTTACCCAACAAACGCCTTATCTCGCTGTATTCGTTCCCGGTGGTCACGGCGTGTTGAACGGCGTCCCTTTCTCAGCAACAGTTGGCAAAGTTCTTCGCTGGGCACATGATAACCAGCGTTTCCTCATTACGCTGTGTCATGGCCCGGTATGTATGCTTGCCGCCGACATCGACAAGCCTGAGGGTAGCAAATTTATTTACGATGGTTACAAAATTGATGTTTTCCCGGACTCGTTAGATCAAGGGGCCAATGTTGATATCGGTTACATACCTGGGAAGATGGCGTGGTATGTTGGCGAACGGCTCCGCAAGCTCGGTGTCACACCTCTCAACAGAAGCATCAGCGGTGAGACCCACCGGGATCGGCTAGTCCTTACCGGGGATTCTCCGCTGGCATCCAACAATCTAGGGAAGCTAGCTGCCGAGACTCTGCTCAAGGAGGTTTCTCGGTATTCGTGATTGTGATTATTTCAACCATATATCCTTCTAAGTTAAATTTTGAATGAGGAAACTAGGGTACGAAAATGTGAAAAAGTTGAAGCAGAACGATATACTACTCAGGCCCTTGAGCAGGTGATTTACGCGGCTTGGTCTTCTTCGAGTTTCGCTTAAGTCTTTATTCTCTTGGCATTGTGGTTGTCGTCTCTTCAGGTATGGTAGTCGAGGAGAAGATAATATCAATTTAAACCAAATTAGTTGCTCTTAATTTAATAAACGATCCGGATTTCTCATTTTAACCTTGGTCCGGAATAAGTGCTACCAAGGCTTGTTTGCCCAGATTCGTAGGGTGATGTCTGACGCTTAAATCACCACTACTGTTGCGCTTATTGTGAATCTCAGCCTGGTGTAAATACCCCTTTACTCATTCTCCGTTCTCACGCTTCACGCTTCAAAATGGCAAAAAGCGACATCACGAGAGTAATAAGGTGATAAGCGGCACCATCGGCAGATTGATCGATAATTATTCTATCCCATGATCAATCCGATACCGATATTGTTTTGCTATCAAGCATCGTCAATTCATAGTTGATATTGAAGAAGAATTATCAGAAAGTAAGCTATCGTACAATATCTGTCCGAAAGTAAGATATCAAAACTGCCAAGATCTGGTGCCGAATAAAGATGGCTCAATATATGCAATTCTAGAAGGATTTTTGTTGTTTCTAGCTTGTAATTTCCAGTGGTCAGAGGGTTCTGAAGTTCGGAATGCGTTGATGGCAGCTTCATGTACTTTAAGCATTTACAAGACAGTCGAAATTATTATAAGCCAGAGAGTGGAATAAAGAGCCCAGAGAAATATATACACAGGACTGATTAAGCCTCCGACTTTTATATGTCACGAAAAAGTATGTTCAACTTCACCCGCAACCAGGTCGCCATCCCTACATATTTAAATACTATTTAATACCTCACATACAGTAGTACTACGGTATTGAGGGCTTAGATTAGTATTCATAGAGTATTTGCCTACTAACGGGTGCCTAGTAGGTGATAAAATAAGCAAGGCAGGAACGCGTAGATACATATATATCTCCACCACCGTGACCATCAGTATATTTTCCTCCTTCTTCAAGTCCTTGTTTACCCTTGGCCTTTTGGCAACACAACGCAACGCGTTTTACCCTTGGCCTTTTGTCCTACAATATGCTGTAATAGCAATGAATAACCTCACTAACCTACAGCACTAACCTACAGTCTTTCACTATTGCAATTGCAACGCGTTTTAGCCTGGCTTTTTGGCCTACAATATGCTGCAATAGCAATAAATAACCTCACTAACCTACAGCGCTAACCTACAGCACTAACCTACAGCCTTTCACTATTGTAATTGCAATGCGTTTTGGCCTTGGCCCTTTGGTATCGCAACGCGTTGTGGCCCTGGTGTTTTGGCCCTAGTGTTTTGGTCCAGTAGTAGTAAGTAGTACAAGTAGCTGAGTAGTACTATATTATTAATACTTCTACACCTACAGAATACCCTAAATACCTCCTAAGTAGGCAAATACCGTATTTGACAAAATGCTTGGAAAAACTCCGCATGTTAGTGAATACCGTATTATAGCTGAATACCGCATTTATAGCGTATGTATAAGGTATTGAAATATCCCCTGGGGGCGGGATGGAACTCCGAAGCCCAAATTTCCGGCAACACCGCTGCCTGTGAATGGCAAGCTGAGCGCAAACTAAAGAAAACGTGTTCCAAATCCAATGTTGACGGGCTATCGCTTTTGGGTAATCTCTAATTAAATGTTACTTGGAGTTATTTAGCTGTTGCGGATTCCTTGGATTAAACATGTATTTCAGAATGTTCAGCGGTTGAATGACCCGCAGGAAGCTTTCATTAAATCGAGGATCTCAAACTGATATACAGTCAAACTGATTTAAAGGGTCGTCCAACAGAAATTAACAACATTCAGCCCCGATCTGAACTGTGGTTCTCATCCAGATTCTAGATAGAGATCCTGCGAAGCTTTTGGGCAAACTTTTGAAAATCACTATACTCTTGATCAAAGTCTTGGGAACATATCATCATGTGGTCAGAGAGATTGAAAAATGAGCCACTTTGTATCTCTTTCGAGATACTTGGTTCATTACGCTTGCCAGGATGGTGATTGGGACCTTTACTTCGAGTAGCAACCTGGGAAGAACTCATCAATATCGGAAATATCATAACTGGAACAAGCTGTTGAGCTGCGGCCCGCGTCATTGGAACGAGAAGGAGGAATATCGATTGATTGCTTCACTTTCTCTCCGTATTACCCGCTGCCAGTCTCGGAATTATGGGCACATACTGGCGCAGTAGTTTATTTGCTCTCCCAGGGCAAAGCTACATTTAAATCGAAGGCTGTAGGCTTGTCACATTGGTGCATGTGAATACTGAATTCGCAATCCGCCCGGGACCGTTGCAGCCAATATTGGTGTGGGCCCTAAAGCCCCAACCCTTTTGGGATAGGACCGTCCTAGACTTAGATAAGGTCTGCTTCCGTTATTTTGAGCGTCTGTTAGGTCTATTGTTTATCTACAATAGCTATAACCGTAAAGTACCTATTGTAGATACTAGATTTAAATAATCGCTAATATTTCACAGACTATAGCTAAACATAATCCGTACGTTTTAGTTGTCCCCCTAGGCTAATAAGATTAGTATGTTTCTTATAGCAATGGTTCCAGACGGTACAGGGCTGCCGAGCTACATAACTACAGTGTTCCTCTGGGTATTAATAGCCATTATAGACCGGTAATCCATCAATAGGTCAAGCATATAGAGATAGGATACAGAACGGCTCGATGTCAGGATTCCAGGGGCAGGAATAGACGTTGATTGCTTCTGTACAAATAGCTGTTCTCTGTACGCTGGATCGGGCAGATAGATAGCGGGTATATTTGCTAGCTAGGTAACTGAATATATAACTAGGGGCTACAGCCTACCAGCAGGTTTTACAGATCTAGATCCGGTAGGTTGAATTATAGTAGAAGAGCTCTATAAGAGTATCCATAATGAAAAGTGTTGGTAGGAGGCTAGAGGGGGGAAAAAGCCTAAGATATGTAGGGTTTGTACGGTAAGTAGAAACACAGTTGAGAACAGAATTCCAGTTGAGATCAGTACTCTGCTACATATATATCAATCTTTCTTATATAAGGACAGTATCGAAGCCCCTGAATATAATAGCTCTGATCGCTCTGGCCTAAAGATATCGAAGCCTCTGAATCTGATAGCTCCGATTACTTTGGCCCACGGACTGGGGTGTCCGGGAGCACGCACAACAGGCCAATCAGCGGGCGAAGAACAACATTGAGCCCTGAATGCATCGCGGACTAGGGTGTAGGGGAGACTTCATTTGCTGATACATTTGTTAATTAAAATATGTATGAGTCTAGCGATTCGAAAACTTGCTTATGTCATTTCGTATTGCGGTTATTATTTATCTAGAAGACTCTTATTATTGGCCCTCTTAGATTCAGACTCATCTCCGCTTCATCCAAAATACTTGAACGCTGCTTTTCGCTTCTGAATTCCATTCTTCCCTGATTTTCGTTTCGGGGCCGATGCGTGCAACGCGCGCTTCTTCAAGTTACGAACAGATATTTAATAATGGAGGAAGCCATATCCGGATAAGAATATTGTGTGATTAGGGTTTAAAAGAGTATGTCTCTGTTCTCCGACATGGAAGGCGATAACGGTCGCTACTGTAGAAGAATTTTTATATAGCAACAGATATAGTTCGCTCACGACGAAAGGAACGGTGGAAAAATAGCCCCAAACCATCTTTCCGAAGCGACTACTGTAGAATTAGTTGCAGTGGCTTTTGTCATTGGTAGGTTGTATATGATTCCACAGAGTGATTGCCGATAATGTGCCGGTGCTTTTTGAAATGATAATTGTTAAATTAATTTAAAATCGATAGAGTGGCAAGTTGAAATGATTGGTCCTGAACTTCAAATAACTAATATTTGTTTCTATGAAAATAACGAATTGCAGAGAATATAAAGAGAAGGAACTGGCGTTCTGCACAAGAAAGAGTAACTTCGCGGTCATCAAGTGTATGATGTCATTCGATCCCTTTCCGAACTCAAGAAATTAGTTCCGCTTATGTACCCTTGACCACCAGTCCTTTTAAATGTCTGACCAGAATGATGAGCATCCCCAGAAAAACAATATGGGTCACCGTTCTAGGATCCCATTCGAGATAATACTCTATATAGTCGGCTATTCTGGTGTCGGCGAACAGTTCTTGCTCTTCAAAGCACTACCAGATCTTGCCCAACTATGCACATATCGACAAACAAGGATAAAAGAAAAGCCCAATGACGACACCATTTCTCACATTCTCGCAAGAGAGGGTGAATATCTTTTGCTGTACCAGCTCTTCATCCGAGACCAATCATTGGCAGAAATACCAAATGCTGCTGGAGACACACCTTTGTTTTTAGCTGCAAAGTGCGGACATGTTCCGATTGTCAAAATGCTATTTAGCGATCGACTGGCTCAAAGGACAAATTTTCACGGAGAGACTGCCTTGTCTATTGCTGCAGAGCACAATCGAGTGAAAGTCGTCGATTTTCTTATTGCCCAAAAGAATGTGAATTTGAATGCCTGCGATTTCGCTCAAGATACTCCACTTGCGGTGGCTGTGAAGCACGGAAACACAGAGGTGGTTAAGAAGCTCCTGAAATGTCCGAACTGTGAAATGAATCTCAAAAACAGGGCTGGTGACTCACCGCTGTCACTTGTAGCTCAATCAGGGGTGGGGACTCTGTGTGATCTCTTGCTTCGAAGACAAGAGACAGACCCAAACTCCCCAGACAACCGACATAGAACACCACTTGACCTTGCAGCTCGATTTGGACATGACAGCGTCGTCGTGGTACTGCTCAAGAGATCCGATATTAACGTCAATTCCCGTGACGATTGTGGCGACACTCCTTTATCTGTGGCTATTATATACGGACATAGAAGAGTCGCAGTTCATCTTCTGGAAAGCCAGAAAGTCTTAATCAATACGGTCAATCATTTCAATTCAACCCCTCTACACTACGCTGCCGCAAAAGTTCAAGGGTCTCTAGTGGATATTTTGATTAAGCGAGATGCGTCACTGGCGCGCTTTATGAACAATGCTGGGGGGACACCTGTATCGCTTGCTCGAAAGTCTGGAAGCAAAAGGATTACTGAAAAGTTGATCGAAGTGACTGAAATTTACATCCAAGAAAGCTCATGAGGGATTTTGTTGCTGCTCGACGTGCCTTGGCAATTATTTGGTTCATGCACATCTCCATTCCTATTTATTTCTAGCAAATCTAAGTACAAGACTTTCAACAATTATATCGATTACTGATGCAATCAAATATTCTTACTCGTAATGTAAAGTTTGCACCCCCTTGAATGGAATTAGCATAATATTTTCCTTGCCAGCTTTCAAAATGGTTTCTAGGTTACCGCCAAGCTAGTAAAACAAAATAAAACACCTGCCAAGCTAGTAATGTTGTGCTCCAGTACCCAGGTCAAAATATTTATTTCTTACTCCGTGCACTATGGGGAACTCCTCCAACCAGAATTAAGCGCCAACAACCGGGAATTTCCTTATTAAAGGAAGATGATGGTTTCTGATGTTGTGTATTCCATGCAAAGGAAAATTTCAATTCATTTTGCAATTATTTTAGGCCCAATGCAACTCTTGGTCATGGAATCCTCAAAACAGTTTTTAAATAACAACAAGGAATGGAGTGAGTCATCATTCAATCCCTCCGAAACAGGAAAGTCTTGGCAAAATTATGCAATCGATGTCCTATGAGGTTTGAAACACAACAAAGTCACGTAGGACCGCACCGCGGTGCGGTTCTCGCATTTTGGAGCCGCAGAGCCGGAGGTTTTGTTGCGAGGTTCCAGACCTTGGAACCGAAACCGCATGGTCTAGTAGTCTGCAGTGCTAGCTAACTCAGCTCTCGCCGTTCTCTCCTGTGACTACTGCTCCACTTATAAGACCTAGATAGGATCCCAATCTATTCATGCGATCATTCTTATAGAACAGCTACTGTTTCCTTTGCTTCGTATGCTACGCCGTACGTTGATCTCTGTGAGCATCTGAGCATCCTCACACCTTCCTTAATTTACCTATGTACACAGTTGAAGCACTCCGTACATACAACATGGTCCATGAATAGGTATTTTCCAGTGAGAGAAAGAATTAGACAATTCTTTGAAATTCATGAAGCTTTTTTGAGAAAAGCTCCTATAGTTGTCAGGTTCTCGAGAGCGAAAACGAGTATAGTTAAAAGGTATATCCAAGTAAGAATATAAACTTGATTTCGAAGAACCAGATATATTTGTTAAAAGAATGTCCATATATAACTAGCCCTTACTCCGATCACTAACATGATGTGTCAGTTCATAGGGTCTGTTCTCGTCAAATCATTAATCTACATACAAGCTTTCACTTATAAACCATGTATCCCTTTTGAAAACCCCCCCAAATTCTCTCAGTAAGTCCCCAACCCAAACCTCATTTCCCTCGCTTATAATATCTAAGAAATCCCCGAATTTGACTGCGAGCTTTCTACGCATGACGGTTACCTAACCTGCGCGTTCTGCGACAGTGATAATGTTATCTTAGTGGCGATGCTACCGGAGGAAAAGTTACCTTCTATCCAGGATGCAGTCAAAGCAAATATCACGTACTCCAACGATGCGATAATTGGAGATGACACGTCTCTGTGTGGAACAATCAAGGGTGACAAGATGGTAATCGAGTTAGATTGCAAGTTTACGATCACCGCAACCTTGTCTTCTGCTCCCGGTGGTTTGACCTTCAGTGGTAAATGTGAGTGGAGATTATAAGCAAGGAATGGGACATTGGATAAATACGACAGTGGAACCGAGGACTGGAAACCTTTCAGATGATACATACAAGAGTTCTGTCGTATACTAAATATGTGCAAGATACTGCTTCTCACTCGAGATTGTCATCTTCTACTTGCTTGTTAGTTTCCATTGACGGCACAATGGCATTATCAGCCAAATCACTTTGGCCGAGTTCAATCTTATAAATTAAGCCATTGCGGGGAGCGATGGCAAGAGTATAGTTAATACGGGTATTAGCACTGGATGCTCTTAGAGGAAATCCTGTATTCACTACTATTCAACAATGTACCCACATACAAGTAGTATAGCAGAGCTCCATTTTACAATGAAAAAGCAGCGACCCCAGGAATAGTAAGATCATTGCAAAGGTAGACAGTGGCAAGGTGATATTACGATACCATAAGCTCATGAAAAACATGCCAATAAATCAGGCAATCTCCAAGCATGACTGTCTACTTGACTCAAACGCCACACACAAGCTACCCCAAGGGTTCCAACAAGAACAGCAAAAGGACTCATTCGAAAACTCATGGCAGCCTGTAGAAGTTGACTCGATGATGTGAGTTGACGAATAGGCTTGGAAAGTTTGAGGGGTTTCGTGTCAGAAGCTGGGTCTCGGAGAAGGTGCTTGCGAATGCCATGAAGTGTGGTCTCAAGATACTGCTCAGGTTCGAAATCGTCCGGCAGGTGCGTAGAAGGGCGAAAATTGAACGAATGATGGGTGAAATAAGGAAAATCACGATTGAGACTTGCTAGACCAGCCCGAATGCGGACTAGTCTTCGTCGCATTCTATCATTTTGCGAAAGAGTGTAGAATACAGATGCCAGGAAGAGTGGGAGTTTTTGATAGATAGTATCGTAGATGTGAAATTGAATACCGCGAGGGCCAAGGTAGTGAACTTTTGGTGAGCGAAATGAGGCGGCTCTGTGTTGCAGAAAGTGTTTGATCGAGTTGGTACAGACCATGCTGATTGGGAGGCCGTTGCACAGTGATGCAGTGGCATACTTGATTTGTACAGCGGACGGGGCCGTTTCTTGGAACGTCACGCCAAGCAGTCGGTTGGCTACCTCGTCGACGGGAACGATGTCCAGGATGGTCTGAGAGTCGGCATCTATCACACCAAGGAGTCCATTTCCATATGCAGCAAGGAATCCCGCGAATGCACTGAGACTGTCGATCCATCCAGGGAAGGGTAGACGCCAGCTCGCCGAAATGATACTTGGTCGTACAATGGTCAATGGAACAGAGCCTCTGTTGGCGACTAGCATGTGCTCTGCGATGCATTTGGATAGAGTGTAGGTATTTGGATGCTTGGTCTGATTCAGCAGCTCAGTTTCAGATGTTTTTCCATCCAAGATATCTCGATACACTTCAGATGGTTCGTAAGGAAGAGGTGTGAGAGTCTCGCGGATTGGACCGAGACGATGGGGAGTCACATATGCAGTAGAAGTGCTGACAAGATGTTGGAAATGAGTGCACTTGCGAGCAAATTCCAGAATGTTCAGTACAGTTGAGACATTTGCTGCCGCTGCCTCTGCTAGTGCTCGGTCGAATTTCACACAGCCCGCGCAGTGGATGATATGTGTGATCTCCGTTTGGATCCTTTCAGATATTGAATCAAGAATGCCCAAGTCAGAATCCACCAGATCACCCGTCACCACCTCTACCATGTTGTCCCAGGCCTCCAGTAATAGAGAGAAACATGCCGATGGGACAACTGTCTCTCGGAATCTTCGCTCACCGTCGATGCCATTTCTCCCTCGTACCAAAACAATGATTTTGGTGCAATTTAACTTCTTGTGCTGACGCACAAGATGCTCTAGCACGACTTTCCCAAGAAATCCGGTAACACCAGTTACCAGAACGCAGTTGGGTATAGTCATGATTTCCAGTCGATCCTGTGGACTCAAATCATTAGCAAAGAGCCAGCCTTCTATATTGCGTAAAAATCCTTGGATATTGCGTATACGTTCAAAATGATTCATGTTGTTTGACGGATTGTACTTAAGGGTTGCAGATCTTGTAGATCTATCCCCTGCATAAGTTCCACTTCCAATACGCAATACGAACCCTTGACATTACCACATATTGCAAACACCCGAGACGTACCTAAATATTTGGTCACACGTATTTAAGCAGTCACGCCGCATGAGGCTGGTCTTCTTTCTGATACGTCTTCCGCCAGCGGTGTGTCCACGGGGTACTCCGTAGCTGAGGTTGCATTGTACCCAAAGGATTGTCTTAAACTGAGGCCAGAGTATTAGCTCCTCTATGGTTTGCAGATCCTTCCTTGTATTAGTTATCTTGCATGACTTGTTTCCGTAATCTTGAGCATGTCTGTCATGGATCGCGATCGCATGATGGCCTATTTTTGATTATATTTACAGAGAATGAATATGTGCATGAGAATCTGATTTTGATTGTTGATAAGTACGATCTAGGGGTCGGAAACTGAACACTGAAATTTTCATGGGTTGGACATAGCAGCAAGAACCAGTTTCCATTGATCCACCAACGACCATACCACAGAGAGTAACCGTGGGCCAATAATTTCATCTCCACACATGGACGATAATACGAGCAAGATAAACGAACCCGAAGACAGAAGATAGAATGACTGAATCAAATACTCTCGAGCATTGTACAAGAGTGCTTTGTTGAATTTCTGTTGCATGACTTTCATCTCATTTTCATGGGGCATTGAGATGGAAGGAATCGGTTGATCAAGGAATTTGCACAATGGTTCCCACCCTTCTTTGAGTTGGTAGATCAAGAGATTATCCGAAGGCACGAGCGATTTGATCTTTTCCTGGTGTTCAAAGAACACCCGTCGAGCATTAAGCTCAAAGCTGCCCTCGAAAAGCTCATTCCATGCCTTGGCAAATGTTGGCCTTACCATGCGCACGCGGGTTCGAAGAATTGCATCTACCACATTGAACACGTGGAAAAATGGGGATGTAATCAAAGAGTTGATAGTACTTTTTGCGGACCTGTCATCTGTTAGTATAGCTGTGGAAGTGGTTATGGGCTGGTCGTTCTCGAGCAAGATACTCACTTATGCCATGCGTCCACATCGCGGGTAGTAATAATGACCTTCGCCTCGGGGTAAGCTTTGATTAGCTCTTCAGCAAAGCAAATAGCAGGAATGTCTGTAACGGCCTAATCATCATATTAATCAACGATACGCCCAATGCATAAGTAGGTTAACTGACCTGGCAATGACCCAGAAGTTGGTCAAACTCTTTGCGCCCCCAGGGTTTCCCTTTACCATCAAACTTGGCACGCAAAGCCTGCATCCATAACTCACAGTCTCGGGAGTTGGAAAATATGGCATCATTAGCGTGACAAGTATGGGAATACCCCATAGTTTTCAGTGCTTTTGTCAACGCTATCAGCCATAAAAAAAGACAGTTAGACTATGTGATTTCTTTTAAAATGGGGAGGAATCTTCATACACAACGTGCCAGTACGACAGAGACCAAGAGCCAATACCCTCATTGGCACTTCGCGTGAACAGTAACGACGGTCAATATCCGTCATCACCATGTTTCCATCCGGAAACCGGAGAACCTGTGAAGGCATGGCTATGACAAGCAGCTAGACTCTTGAAGAGACTTTCACAAGTAGGAGCGATGCTTTCAGTGCTTTTAACCTTGCAGCTTTGCGTCGATTCGACTTGGTCATTTCGAGTGATGTATATATTTATGTACGTATGAGTGACCAGAGAGGCGTATTGGATGTAATGAGAAACCCTTACCACCAGCCGTGTACTACTACTGCTGAAATTTTTGAATACACGTTCCTTGCATGCCAAGAGCTGCAGTACGAAAGGTGCACGACGATTCGAAGTTACATTACATTTGCAACCCTAACCATTGCTTTTGCAGATTATTATCTCCACAAAAAAAAGCACAAGCAATATGAAGTGGGTGCCGATAGTATCAAACATTGGAAAGAGGCATATACTAACTTGCGCACTTCAATGTCAGAGTAACCTGTATATATCTAGCCACCAGTTGTATGTCTTGCAAAAAATGATCGGCAATGGCTGTAGGTATATGGAGTAGATAAGGTACATAAATTGGTATGTACGGAGTACTATTGTAAAGTAGAACTTGGAGAATACTGCCTCTTTATTGATTTGCCTGCATGAAAGCCACAGAAGCTGAAGTTTACACTTTTCAGTGTACGGTAATCCTATACTTTCCCTTATATCCTTGAATTAAAGTTTTCTTTAGATACAAAGAATTGACTGACAATCAAAAACTTCAAAAGCAGCCGAGTTCCAATGAACATACGGAGTATCAACAACGTTCAGGTTTGTCTTAGTTCTAAGGAGGCGTAAAATGCTTCCAAAAGCACATGACTGGGGATAGGTTTCGCGAATTCTGTATGTTATTCTCTCTGCTGCCGCATATTACCGCAAATAGGCATAGTAGATTGCATATCTGATCAGTCAAAATGAACGTATCTTGCCTGAAACGTGCAGGGGATAGATATAGGGGCTTTGGCGCGTCAGCTACGTCAACTTGCGAGACCGGTATTACTTCGTAAATCGTACATCGTGGCCTTTGTCTAATATTCCACGGCACCCGAGATCGATCCCTTGCGGGGCTGCAGCCAAGATACCACCTACGCAGATGAGATTTAACGTTGAGTTTATGTTCCTTTCGATCGGCATTCTGATACAATCCAGAATTCGATCGAGGTTGAACCTTCTCAGGCGATCCCGCCAGCGGATCTTCATACTCGCTTTCTTTGATCTACGGCTTGGTACTAGAGCTATGTGCGAATCAAGCCTTGTATTTTATCGGTATCGACTTCTTCTTCCCATTACGCAAGCAAATGTTCTTCGCAGTCTTTTTCGGTACACTATAGTGCTAGTAGTATGGAGAAGAAGAAGCATCGTTTATTTTGGTTTTTATTTTCATTTCCGAGGGGAAAAAGCAAAAGCAAAAGCAAAACGCTGATATGGACACTAGTGTGCCTTGCATGAGATCTATCCCAACGAGTCACCGCCACTATTTTCTAGTGCAATCAAGCGCCAAAAGGTAAAAATTGGCTTGAAATCATGCCGAGTCGCTTTTAAGGCCACGTTTGAGCATCAACAAAGTGAAATGTTAAGAAAATCGTATGCACTCTTAAAGCGGTAGTTTCGTCTTAACAAAACTGCTCGTTCAGCTCCTTCCCAGCTATATTGACAACGATATCTGGTATCTCGTCGCTAAGGCTTGGGGTTTCTTTTCGATTTGTTTGTACTTTCAGTTTTCGCAAAGATGGGTTTCTTTATCAATGCTTTTCTACGAAACAAGAATTCGACCGATATTGATCGTCGATACTGTACTCGGGAGGTGCCTATGAAGGTTATCATGCTTGGATTCCCACGTACGGGCACGGTTTGTGAGTTCACACTTCTCGAAAATACTTTATAATTGTATTTTACCGCAGCTGACCAATGCGGCGATTGTAGCATTGACAACTGCACTGAAGCTGCTCGGTTTCAACAACGCTTATCATGGCCGAGATGCATTGACCTTCAATCCTCGTGACTGTGAGCTTTGGTGGAAAGCGCTAAGGGCGAAGTATGATGGAAAAGGAAAAGAGTTTGGTCGCAAGGAATTCGACCAGCTTCTGGGTCATTGCCAGGTAAATAAAACCATATGCGGTGCGAAAATGGCACTTTTTGAAAAAAGGTGAAGTTCTGGACTGACGCTCGCTAGGCCGTTTCTGATATCCCTGCGATTTGTTTTGCCGAAGAGCTTATCGCAGCATACCCAAAGGCCAAAGTCATTTTGACAGTGAGAGACGTGGACGAGTGGCAAGAGTAAGCAAAGTCGGACCATTAGCTAAAGACCTTAGAATAACAAAGCTTATAGGTCTGTGAGAAAGTCAATCATGAAGCAGGTCAATGACCCATTCGGAATTCCAATGGTTATTCTGGATCATCTCCTCCAAATGCCGTGGCGGTGGGTTCGACCAGTATTCCTCAAGTCCAGAAATGTGCTCTGGGGCGATGACTTCGAAAAGAACGGGAAAAAAGCCTTTGAGGCCCACTACAAGAAGATCCAAGCCATGGTGCCCCCAGAAAGACTGCTTCTTTACCACGCCAAAGAAGGGTGGGAGCCTCTATGCAAGTTCCTCGAAGTCCCAGTTCCTGAAAGGCCAATGTTAAATGTGAACGACTCCAAAATGTTCAACCAAGGATTCATGGCAAAGAAGGTGTACCACCTCACCCAGTACCTTTGGAGGATTATTGAGATTTCTGCGTTTGCGTCACTTGTCATGTTTCTTTGGGTATTCTCCCAAGGTGGACCTCTTCCTTGGCATTGAGGGATTGATAGGGAACACATTGATATTATCGATCTATTAGTCAGTTCTTATCTAGTTAGCTTGAAGACTACGATATTCACGTTCCAAATTTATGGCTCAATTGCAGAAACATTGGAAGCTAGGATTTGCATCTCGTTGAACATGTATCATTTTCAATTTCAGATTCCACGCCATAGTGGATTAGTTTGGTTACTAGCCTCATGTTTGCCTTCACAGTTTAGCACGGTAAAGTCAAGATGCCCTAGGCTCTTAAACGCTAATGATCAATTCAGCAAGGGGTAATCTTTCAACTCTTGCACATCAAAGAAATAATAATGAAGACCCCTTCTGGTACGCTTTCCAGGCGAGGCAAGTGGACTTTCTCTGACCTCAAACTGCCTGAGAATCTTTTTAAAAATAGCAATACGATATGGACTTCACGCATTACCCATGGGCCAAAGTAGCGGTGTGTTTTTGATTTTCAAAGCACATTTCGTCAAGATACGTATGTGCCCCTGCAGCATCCACCAATATTGTCTTACTCAACTATTGCCAACACCTAAAGCATCTTCCAATAATCAACGCATACATATTTTGAGGCTGGCTGAACCAAAATATTTAACTTTGTATTGAAAGGAATCGACACTACATGTAGGGATACGCTAACAGAATGCTACCTTGTACATCATGATCATGGTATTTTACTTCAAGTCCATGTAAGTTCAAAGATATTTACGAATGAGTAAGCGGTATGATCTTTATCTCATACGAGAATGTCTTAGTCTCTCGCAATTATTTAGCCGGGGATCATTCTATCATATTTTTCTGATGACCATCTGCGTTATAGTTACCGACAGTGAGAAGTCATTCGTCCTCTCAGTTGAAACAAGATGGTGTTGGAGTTAATGGGCGTTGAAGCCTCATCCCTCCATATTATCGCTTTCTTCTTTGTGCTATACGTGGTGTATAAGCGGGCAATTTACTCTAGGTTCATAAGTCCACTTCGCTATCTGCCAAAGCCCAAGGTATGGGAATAAAATCTGAGTTGCTTCTTCATGTCAGGATCTCTAAATGCTAATTGGTATACAGACTGGACTTTTCCCCTTTTCAGGAATTTCCCGCTTGGCCCAAGAACCAGTGACGAATATTTATCTTCGACATGCCAAAGAGATACCAAACGATGGTATTATTTGCGTCAAAGGGCCTTTAGGATCGGAAGAATTGCTTCTAACCAGCGGGGATGCAGTTGCTGAGGTCCTTGTAAAAAGCCCCTTTGACTACGAAAGGGACGGAATCATCCGGCACGTCCTCGGGGGCTCGGATGGGGTGTTGTTCTTTGGTGACGAAACCCATAAACAAGAGCGAAAACTTGGTTTGCAGCACCTGGGCGCTAGACGGGTCAAGAGTCTTTACTCAATGTTTTGGGAGAAATCGCTCAAGGTAGCCAACCTTATTGCACTGCGACAGGCTCACTCCGGCGTGGCAGATTCTGAGTCATCAATCAGCGATGCAGATTTGACGTACTGGTTCTCTCGATTCGCCTTAGACAATGTTATAATCTCGGTCTTCGGCGCTGATTTAAATATACTTGGGGATCCAAAAAATGAGATGGCGAGTTTGTTTGACCAACTCTTTGTCCCAGGATCTCGAATGCGAATATTTTTCGCGTTGATGGCCACATTGCCGCGGTGGATGGTTGCATGCTTGCCTTTGAGTGCGATACAAACCCCTCTAGAGGCCATTGAAAAGCTTAGGCAAATGTGCAGACAGATAGTGGCCGATAAGCAAGACCAGCTTCGGAATATGGACGACAAAAGCAAGCCAGAAGATTTGCTCGCTAGTCTTACCCAATGGGAAAAGTTTTCTTCTGCCGAGCTCGCCATTCAAGTCTTCATGTATATTCTGGTCGGGTAAGTCTTCCCTTGGTTATATGGTTAACATAGGGTCCCCTTGTTGACAGCTTTGCATTTAGACATGCAACAGTGTCGTCTACTGCCACATGGACGATATATCTTCTTGCCAAACACCCAGAATTGCAACGAAGACTACGGAATGAGATAAACACTCACGTTCATTCGAGTGTCCCCCAAGATATATCAGAGGAAGATCTCGCAAATCTGATGGAGAATGTTCCACTTCTTGATGCAATTTGCAATGAGGCCCTTCGCTTATATCCTGCTCTTCATATAACCAAACGCATTTCGACCAAATTCAAACACATACTGGGTAATGAAATTCCAAAGGGAACGCCGGTCATTTTGTCCGCATGGGTAATCAATCGATCCCCTCACTTGTGGGGACCAAACTCCGAAGAGTTTCACCCGGAACGCTGGATCAACGATAAGACTGGAAGCTTCAATCAACGTGGTGGTGCAGTACAAGATTATTGCATGCTTTCTTTCGGGCAGGGTGTTAAGGGCTGTGTTGGACAGGAATATGCTCGCATGGAGTTGAAAGCCTTGGTTGCGGCTTTTGTCTATGCCTTGCACATCGAACTGCGAGAGCCGGTTGGCCCTGTGTTTCCAACAGAAATCCCCCCCTCAAGGCCTTTGCGCGACATGAAGTTCAATTTGAGCAAAGTTGAGCACTGAATCAATCGTAAAATGGGGACTGTACTTTCCATTTGCAGATAAACGAGATATGAAAAAGAGCGATTTGGTATGTCAAACACTACACTTTGATCTCCGTGCATACCGATTACTAGATTTGAGTATAGGGAACAAGCACCCGCTATAATAATGTTGAAGCGTTGGAGTGTCTTACTAGGACTGCATTTATCTCACACATCATGTCAAACTAGTTAGCTGTCAGATTTCCCAAGAGCCAGAATGCTCAGAAATGCTCTTTGAGGCCAAAATGCAGCAGTTAGGGTGAAATCAAAGTCAAAATCAAAACCAAAGATGAGAGAAAGGTTCTAGTGCCAGGGGGGAGGAAAGGGTGATACCCAGTGTGATTCGATTGCGTCAAAAAATACCGTACACAGTATACCTTACTCCACGCATGTAGCCGATGAGAGGCTGTCTTGTGTGGTATCGACGCCAAGCACAGCTAGCGCATTTAAAACAAAAATTCAATCTCATAGAAACTCCAGAACTCGGCATATTGTACCAGTATATGACACCCAGACCGAAGTAAGGTGTAATAAACTCCTTATTCTATCTTTGAAAGCTTCGCAGTGGTGACCACTTTACGCTTTTTCGTACCGGATTGGCGATATGATGTAGAGCATACAGCTCCCTTGCATGGCTGGCCCATTTCAAAGATCATCCATGGATCGTTTCCCCTTCAGGCAATGTTGAATGGCAGCCCTGGAGATTTCCACTGGTCGTGCAGAGAGTTGCCGTCTTTGCCGAGGGTCGAAAGCCAACTTGAGATCGAAGACTCTGTACAAGAGACGAGAAAACACCCCGCAGATCTTGTCCAAAATTCTTACAACCACAAAGATTTCACTTCATCCCCAAAGTCCCAACATGACGGTCACAGTTCCACAGATCCAGCCAACAGACTTAGATTACACACCCATTCGACAAAAATGGTTGGACCGAACAGAGCGACGATTCAGAACTGAAAAGCTGAGCACGGAGTTGCCCGAAGGCTTCCCCCCAAAGCTTGATTCTGGGTTGGTATGGGATGGCCAAAAGTTGCCAGAAATCTATGACTGGACATACCATCTGACCTATGATGATTTGGAAGAGATAAAGCAAGCTGTAGCCTATTTCCATGGCGAGTTTTCACCGTTAACAGGATTTTGACACTGTATCTTTGCCCTTTCTAACGACACTCTAGGCCTCAATAAACCTCTTGGCCACATTGACCCTGATACTTTCCCTCTACCGAATCTCCATGACACGCTACGAGGGGTTTCAAACGAGGTACACAATGGTCATGGGTTCAAGGTGGTCCGGGGTATTCCCGTCGATGAGTACTCGCGAGAGGATAACATCATTATCTACGCTGGGATTTCTTCTCATGTCGCATTGAACCGTGGCCGTCAAATAATTTCTAGACCATCTGAAATGGTACTCACCCACGTCAAAGATCTTATGAGCCCCTCGGAAAAGTCAAAAATTGGTGTTGCCACGTATACTTCTGACCAGCTTATCTTTCATACCGACGTTGGAGATATCATATCGCTGCTCTGTCTTAGTACAGCTGCCGAGGGGGGATGCAGCCAGCTGGCCAGTAGCTGGCATATCTACAATGAGCTAGCAGCCACGCGACCCGACTTGATCAAGACAATGGCAGAGGATTGGCCCCATGATACGTGAGCAGATCTATGGAGCATGAGATGGGGAATAGACTATGTATTAACGTCATAAAGATTCGGCGGTACACCAGAGGGTTATGTGATGCGACCAATCCTTCACCATCAACCCGCAACCGATTCAACACCCGAAAGAGTCGTCATTCATTGCATACGCCGCGAATTCAGCGGAGCACTTGCAACACCAAGATCGAAAACCATTCCGCTGTTGACCGAGGCACAAGCAGAGGCATTGGATGCAATTCATTTCTTGGCTGAGAAATACCAACTTCGTCTCAACTTCCAAAAAGGCGATATTCAATACGTGAACAACTTTAGCATCCTTCATTCCCGAGAGTCGTTCAAAGATACACCAGATCAGAAGTAATTTCATAATCTACCCGAAAACGCCAACCAATGTATGCTAATTGGAACAGGCGCCATCTCATAAGACTCTGGCTCCGTGACCCTCAACATGCGTGGGATATTCCAGGGCCATTAAAGAGACGGATCGGGAGAGTGTACAACAATCTGAACAAAGACACGCAGGAGTTTCCCTTGGAGGCCAAAGTCGAGAGCTGTAAGCCTCGCAGTTAGTTAGATCAGATTCCATGTCTGGGCTTCTGAACAAAGATCGTGTTCTCTTGTGGTAAAGAAGCGCTATTTAGATTCTCAATGTCAATGGGATGAATATACTTGGGAGTAAGGAGCTCAAAGTGGAAACCCTAGGATTCTCCACGAGAGGCATTTTCAAATCGCACACAGAGCCAGGAGAGTGAGCTTACAGGATCACTGTAGCTGGGAGATCATGGACTTTCTCCAGGAAGCGTTGAGAAAAATTCGTTTACTGTGCTTCGAAAGAAACAATGACCAGTTGGATGTATGCCTAAATCTATTGGGGAACTTGTATGATGATGAGAGCATATCAAATTGACAAAGTGTCTGCTAATCATACTTGTTGCAGGCTGACTTTACAGCCATTCTCTGAGCAGAGAGTAAACGTCAGATTTTCCCTCCAAGAATTAGAATCTCGGCTTTCGAGAATCGGAAATTGTTGTGCCAGACGGACTGTGACATAAGCGGCCTCAGTGAGGGCATATTGTTGACCCACACAAATCCGCGGTCCACCATTGAAGGGCAGATATTCCCAGCCAGTGCGCAACTTCTCCCACCGCTCCGGGCGATAGACGTGAGCGTCTGGACCATAAAAGTCTTCGCGGCGGTGCATTGAGTATAGGTTATACCTGACTGTCGTGCCCTTGGGTACGAAGACTGGCGATTGACCATCTTTCCCACCTCCGACGGGGAGTACAGTATCTGTGACGGCAAACCGGGCATTGACTGGAACAACTGGATGAAGCCGGAGCGCTGAAAGAAAGTCAGCATTGAAAGATCCCACGCATGAAATAACGGAGCTTACACTCATTCATGCAGTATTTCAGGTATGTCAGATTCCGCAACTGGTCGTACGTTGGGGCGCAACCTTCTAACATAGAAATCTCTACTCCTAGTTTAGTCCAGACCTCTGGAGTCTTTGCTAGCATGAAGAACATATTGCTTAGCAAAGAGGCGGTTGTATCTCGTCCTGCTAACAGCACGTTCATCAATTCATCACGAATTCGAATCCGGTCGCCTGTTTTCTGTGCCAATTTATACAGGAACAGGTATTTTGGCATTGAGATAGTGGGATTTTTCTCTGGACATGCTTCATTGTCAAGTTCCTGGCGATATCTCAATGCTTGGTCTACAAAGTCCTCGACCAATTCTTGGCAGCGCCGGTTTGCATCATGCGCCTTGCGATCACGATAGAAAATCTTCAGAGGTCCCATGCGACCACGCATGGCGATAGCATCCTGGGCGTAATTGAACGCGCTTCCAAAGTCCCAACTTGTCTGATCGCCGGCATCATGTCCGTATCTTCTCAGAGTATGAGTACTGTGACCAAAAAGAAAATCTGTCGCAGAGTCCATGGTATAGCAGAAAAACAGGTCCTGTAGATCAACGGTGCTACCATCGGTAGGAATCAACTTAAACAGATCCCTCATGAGTTCTTCAAAGGTTTCAAGATGGGTGACGCGGTCTTTGCTAAAAGACGATCGAACCATCGAGCGTGATTGCGCCCAGTGTTCACCGTCCGCAGTGAATATTCCATGGCCAAGCAAGGGTCCAAATGTTTGGATTCGGTTTCCAAGGCCATAATCTTTGAAGCGAAGAGACAGAACGGTCTTGATATTTTGCGGCTCCCGTGTTGTTATTATGGTGTTGGTGAGATTTTGAGCTTTGAAGGTGTTTCCGTAAGTGTCGAATCGATTTAATCCCAACTCAAGAACTTTGTGTTGTTTTGCAGCGGCGATAGTTTCCAGAATTATGTTCAATCCAAATGATTTGCTGGGGATGCTATATGGCGGCATGCACTGATTCTCCCACGCGAAGCGGTTCTGTTTCCATTTTCGACGAACAAAAACAACAGCATACCAGATGAAGACAATGAGACCTCCCAGGATTGCTGGGGAGTGTTTGAGGGTGTCATGTGAGCTCATATTGATCTAATTCCATTAAAAGGTAATGGAATCGTGCTTGGAAGAAATAAGCATGAGGCTGGTTGGTCAAGGGATGAATGAAGAATGCGAACATTGTCATAATGAAGAGTAATGTTAAATTCGACACACATCATATTATTATCCGACCTATGACCAAATACTACGCTGATCGGACTATGAGGCCACCTAGTATGGAACTGCATGATAATGCAGTAGAGACTAGCCTTGGAGGACGAACTTGGAAAATCTGGGCCTCAAGGGATGTGACGAGATGGATGGGAACATGTGTTTGTTATTCTAAAGTACGCAGTAGTTACTGTCGATCTCTGGGTATATACGAAGTATGGAGTAAGACAATAATAACTGGCAGGTTACTCCGTACCCCATAAGAACTCGGGAAGCCCTCAACAGCTCAGGTGGTCAAAGAGGAACTAGCCCTATAACTAGGTATGCAGTGTGTTTCAAATCGGTAATATGAGCGGTCTCATTTCACAGGCTTTACGCAAGGGAGCCCTGCAGCTGGTAATAACATGCCGGCTAGTGGAGTCATTCTTCACCGCAATGCCAATCGATACCAATATACCATACCTTACTCCGTACGTAATTACATTCTCTATTTGCCGCCAGTGATCGGTATCGGGCTCTATTTAGGTGCATACACGTATATAATCCTATAAGACGGGCTCCACCGTCCCCGCGGGGCCTTCACTATGGCGATCGGCACCCCCCTGCCCCGCCGCGACCGCCGCCGCTCCTCCGTCCCACGTCCATCAGGGATCGGGACGGATGGTACCGTTCGGTTCGTCTCGTTGCGCGCTACCGGACAGTAGGTATGACATCTGGGTAGCCCCGCTGGACGATCTGAAAACCCCCGTATACCCGTCGGGATCGGGTCTCTTGACTAGTGATGCCAGGTGCACTGACCGCAGTATCAATAGTATCACTGTCAAAGATATTCTATAGATACAAGAGAGAGAGCCTACAAGATATACCTAAAGCTCGATTTATAGCGATAATATCTTCGGTTATTTAGTCCCCGCCGGCGTACTGAATTCGACTCTGTATGTAGACCAGAATTATAGTGATATATATCTCCATATATCTGCCGTCCGTCCCCTGTTCGGCCCGATTTTCTCCTCTCTAGGATTAAAACTACCGACGGTAAAGGGTAATCAGACTCTCTCAATATTAATCTAATACTACTAAACTATTACAATCCCTCTCTAGGACTGAGGGAAGAGTATAATACTGATACAGTCCCTATCGGATTATTTATATAGAGAAGGGTACCCCCCGCTAACTAGAGGATCTCCATACTCCACGTAATCTATATAGCTTACCTACGACTGTATACCCCTGTAGAGCTCTGTCCTCGCCGGCGGTAGCGGCCGGCGATAACCCGGACCAGTTATAAGATACTATTCGCCCGACGGCTGCCGCCGGCTACAATACAGACCAACCAGGGTATATACTGTCTATTATCTATCCTTAGCAGACTCTAGTCTCTAGGCATAGAGGAAAAAGCAAAAAAAAAAGAAAAAAAGAAAAGGGAGTAAGTTACAGCCGTAAGCCTGTATATTAGGGGTTAGTTCCCTAATCCTGTTAATCTAAAGGTATTTTCCTCTCGCTTTATCTATACTATAACAGTACTACCCCTGTACTATTACCATCCGGAGTACAATACGATCCTCTGCTAGGCATACGAGATTATAGTCCCAGGCCGTATAGCGCAGCGTTATCTCCGGGAAATACATTATATACAAGAGGCCTACAACCGCCGCCTATAACTCCATACCGTACCTAGGGGTATTCTTCCCCGGCCTAATCATACCGACTTTCCGCCACTCCCCTATAGCAGCGATATAATTCTACAGCTCCCGGTATATCAGATCTGGTGTTATAGGACCTATAGGATATATCTCAGCAGCAGCACCCGACAGGTCCGGAAGCACCACTACCAAAACCATCCTACAGTCTGCAGACCAGAACTATATTAGGTCTATACCCAGCACTGGTTCGCTAACAGCCGGTACTGCCGCTACTAGATTATAGAGGTCTCTAGTGTACAGCCATAGGACCCTCCTACCTTATAACTAACCTCTACCACCGCTATTCTATCGATTCTACAGACAACCTGGCTTACTAGAAGCAGGACTGAGTTACCTCTTCTACTACCTACCAACGTACAGCCACAGGACTCTCCTACCTTACAACCAACCTCTACTAACGCTACCCTGTTAATCCTATAGACAACCTAGCTTACTAGAAGAAGAACTAAGTCATTTCTTTTACTATCTGCCAACGAAGGACTAAACAGTGATAAAGATAGACCTAGGGTACCGATACAAGCCGATAGAGATATCCTACAAAATAACCAGACAGTATAAGAAGAACTACAGAAAGAAGAGGTTAGCGAGACTACAGCTGAAGGGTTTATCACTGCTGATCTTAACAGACAGAATAGTCCTCTACTACTACTATCGCTACTCCTAGACCTACAGTCACCGAAGCTACAGGACAGGGGCCCTAGAGCTATACTACTTAGCTAGCCAGACTAATTATTTACAATAGCCCTAAGATCTAGTATTAGCAGGGATACCCTACCCGGCCTATCTGGTTGTCTACAACCTATATCGCCCAGTTCGCCCCTACCGTCAACTATACCTATAGAGAGTTTTATATCGACCTTCCCTATTTCTACTACTCCGAGCTAGATATAGACTACCCTTATACAAGAGCACTAGGTACTCTAGGAGGAACAGAATCAGCTCCGGCCAGCTACTAGTCTAGGGGTATCTACTACTGCACCAGCTACTATAGAGAACTCGCTCTTTATCTTTAACGCCCAGCACCAGTAATAGGATAATACTACTCTATAGTTACAGTTTACTGAATAGCCCCGATACTTTTACTAGCGCTCGCTGCTTAGTCTAGCCCGTACGGCAGGCTCTCCCTATACCTTATAAGTCCTGCCTGTACTACAGGAGCAATAAGGCGGTAGATCTCTATCTCCTTGTCTAGATAAGTAAGATAAGCAGCAACAGAAGCACGTCCGGCACAACCAGATTCTTACCATTATCGTCCACGTAATAGACTAGGTTTTGGATCGTAGCCGGGAGACGTTAGCGCAGACCTATATATCTGTCTAGGAGATCTTTGGCTGCCGGATCCCCCACTAACAAACGCGGAGACGGCCTAAATATAGTCGGGCCATGCCCCGGGGGGGGGGCACATAGTTAAGAAAGTCTTGGCAAGGGGGGGGGGGGCATGAATTTAAGGTTTAAATCTTGCCCCCCCCCCCTAAGTACCTTAAATCTTAGTATTTTCCGATCGGGTCTTGAAGATCTTTTAATAAAATAGTTGAAATTATCTGGCTATCAAAAAATATTAGTAGATTTTAGGCTAGAAGGGGCTAACCCTAAGGGGGGGTAGTTTGTATAGAAGATTTTTTGATGGGGGATGCCAAGGCCTGGCCCTGCGGGTATACTATACCCTTTTCGGCTACTCCCCTCAGCCCTTAGGGTTTAGCCTTAGTAATCTGGCACTCTAGGGTTTATAGGGTCTCAGAGTAAGATAGCTTATAACTAGATAAGTAGGTAAGCTATTCGAATAGGGCTTTTTGTATTAGCTCGATAGGAGATATAGCTATAGGCCTATTATATAGAGATTATATAAGTAATCTCTATATAGGCAGTATAAGCCTAAGTAGGTTCTTTAGAATGTTCTATAAGATAACTAATCAATTTTACTCTAGTATAGTAGCGGTAGTCTTGGTTGGTTAACCAGTTAATAGACCAGTTAATTAACCAGTTGATAGGCCAGATAGTAGGCTAGAAGGTAGGCTATAAGGTAGGTAAGCAGCCAGCTTATAATGATTACTAAGTTGTCAGGCTAGAGACCTGTAACTAGGTAAGGGTATCAGATAGTAGAGATCAGATTGGATAGTTGATATACAGACTAATTCTTGAAGAGATTAAGAATTCTGAATAATTATAGGATCTTAAATATACTAGGGTTTGAGTAGATCTCGATATACAGGTGGCTCGAAGGGGATTCAAGTGCAGATTGATATTGAACGTCTAGGGTGCTGTATAATTCTAAATCCTATAATATAGTACCTAAGGTAGGCTATCTAGTAGAGCTGTAGCAACAACTGTTTAATTAGGGCTAGGCCTATATGCTGTTTACAATAATCTTAGAGAAGGAGAGTTGTTTATATCTGTCTACCTTGGTTTCCTGCAGGAAAAAGGTTATATACTATTATGTAATATCAACTAGGCCCTGGCCTATTATACTAGGGGATCTACCTAGATCGATACACTATCTAGGTAATATAGTATCTTAGCTTATATAATTCAGTAGTAGGCTAGGTAGTAGGTTAGAAGGTAGGATAGCTAGTTGATAGGCTAGTTGATAGGCCAGTTGATAGGCCAGTTGATAGGCTATAAGGTAGGTAAGCAGCCAGGTAGGCAGGTAGATACGCTAGTATTAGGATATAATCTACTACTAGGCGACTACTAGGCTACTGTATATCATTAAGAACAGATTAGGCTAATTACCTGTACCTAAATTGATCTACTACCTACTACATAAATCTATCTACTCACTATAGCCATGGAGATCTCTGTAGCTGCTAGCAAAGCAGTAGAAGACCCAGGCTGCACCTACTATCTCAGTATCCAATTTCCAAAGAGGCTCTTGGAAGGTCTCAGGCTCCCATACCTTAGGCAACCAATCCTTACTAAAATAAGGTATACCTAAGCTTGGCTGCTTAGTGAACGATAGATGGCAGGCGGTCCAAAAGCATAGTAGTAGCCTAGAGGCTAGGCATGATCTACCCTCATCAGTAAGCAGAGGGCCCTTACAGAGCCTAGTAGGTAGATAGCACCTAAAGCAGCAGCTATCTGCCTGAGGGTTGAGGCTATCCTCTAGCTGCTGTATATACTGCTGAATATCCACTCTTTGGTAAAGAGGACAAACAGTAAGTGCATGCCTAAGGT